ATTAAAAAGCATTTTTAATTACTCCAAGATAAAATGCTAGTTTTTAACTCCGTAAGTAAAAGTTCAATGGGATTTCAAATTTTAAGAACATCCCTCAAAGATATTGATGTCAAAGTTTATATGTTGTCTCTTTAGTATAGCCATCAGCATATTTCGAAATATGATATTTTATAAAACAATGTGAATTTTTAGTTAAAATTTTCGAAAATGTCATTTATTTTTAATTGACTGTATATGAAACAAAACCAATTTAGGGCCGTACGTTCAAGTTTATATAAAATAACCGTATATTTATAAATAAGTTTTTGATGATGGCTTTGAAAACTAGTCTTTTGGATAATAGTTTAACTGAAAGGAGCTTTACTTAATTAATGTTTGGAAAGGTTCATTAATGATTGGAAAGGTTCATTAATGATTGGAAAGGTTCATCATACACTGAAGTTAGAAATAAAGAATGCTGATCAAAAAGAAAAATAAAGAACATGGATAAAAAAAATAAGAAAGGTGAAGTAATTTGTGATTTTTTTCTAAATAAAGTTTTTTTTTAGTTCTTATTTTAGGACCTTATTAAGTAAGATCACTTTATATGGAACGTGGTATAAATCAATGTCAAAGATAATATAATCAAAGTCTATTTTCATAATATGGCATTGTAGAATTTTGTTCTAAATTTTTGCATAACTTCTTAAATTATTAATTTAACTTTTGGATTAGCTGATATTTTGATACTAACATTCCATTTGTATTACTTTTAATGCACATCATTATGATACTAGAAAAATATTTACAGACCAGTTGATTGGTCAACCTATTTTTAGACCATAGTCTTATTTCTAAAGATCTGTTATAAATCTCTGCACTTTCATACTGTACAGAATAATATTATTTCAATATACCAACCAACCAATCATTTTTTGATTTTTATATAAAATTATTATAGTGCAGAGCATGATGGGGCTATAAACTTACAAGTGTTAACATTTACTTATTTTTATAAACAGTAGTTTATAAAAATAATACTGATTTTTTTACATAAAATTGATAAAATACAGAAAAACTTTGTTTGTGAAAGTATCAAAAAATATTACTATATTCAAGAATATTGGGCTATTAGAGGTGGAAATTAACGAATTAGATTTATTCATGTAACAATAATTGAGTAGTTTTTTTTGTGTATTTCTACTTTTCTGTACTTTTTTAAATGTGTACTTTTACTTTTTCTGAAGAATATTTTTTAAAAGTATTGTAATTTGCTAAATTTTAAATCATGTTATATAGTTACTGAGTAAAAAATGCGTGTTCTACTTATTTAATCAGTTGATGTGTACTATCTCTATTTAAGTCAGTTGAGGTATGTACACTCCATCGCGCTAAACCCTAAGTAAATCAGTTGATAAAACAAAAATGAAAAAATAATTCAATAAAGCAAATAAATTTAAATAATAAATATAGTTAAAAAAAAAAAAACATTTAAATTTAAATCCTTTTACGGCATTTCAATTCAAATCCTAGATTGCAAATTTTGCTGCATTTTACTTACATATGTAAGTTTTCGGCTTGAATAGCCTAAATTTAATTCAATTTTATTTTGATACAAGTATCTCTGGCATTTCGAATTTTAAATGAAAATTTTAGAACAATTTCAAAAGATAAATAAAAAAGATGCTTAAAAGCTGTTATTTCTTTACTCTGAGTGCTGAGTAACAGGTTGTCTTACATTACATTCTTACTGAGCTATTTTTTAATTTTACTTGAGTAAACCTTTTGACCGTTAAGGTTTACTTGTACTTGAGTAAATTCTTACTCAAGCAACAGTACTTTTTCTTGAGTACAAATTTTTTTACTTTTTCTGTGGGCTAGTTACTAATGAGTCTGATATATGTGTTCTTGTAACTAGCAAGTGATGTTGTTGATATTCTTTTATTTTGTTATAATTATTTTCATATTTCTTGTTATTTATGTTAAGACTATTATTATAACATAAATTGCTACTTTCAGTGGTTTTTTACTTTGTTATGTTTTATATTTTATATATTATTCATTTTTTATTTTGAACTTATAGAAACAGAACCACACTTTTTTATTTCCAACTTTTGTTAGTATTATTTTTAAAAATAAGCCATACCATCTATACTTTTTAATATTGCAGATACATGTGTGAGTGCATGCCATCCTAATGCAACTTGTGTTGGTTTAAATTGTAATTGTAATAGTGGTTTTATTGGCAATGGATTCAATAACTGTAAAGGTGCAAACATCTATATATTTTTATCATATTTGTGTTTTATTTGATTGATGTATTTGTAATTTCTTTTTAATTTTAATTTAAAAAATATAGTTAAGTAAGTATTAAAACTTATTTTCAAATAAAATTTTATAGTTGGTTTTTTTTTATAACTAAATAAAGTTTTTTTCCATTTGATGTTAAGAGACAACTCGTGCATTTGTAAGGACTTTGATTAAAGCTGTTGAAATGATTTCATTTTTTTTTTTTAAAAAAGCTAGAAATAACAATAACCAACAGTTAATATTTGAAATATTACCAATGACAGTTTTAGGCTTTTTTAAAAAATTTATATTACTATTTATAAAATACTATTTTTAAAAGTGATAACTTTTTAATGCTCATCCTTCAACATTTAAACTTTTACACTTGCACCATAATATTTATAAAGGCAGAGTTTGTATAATTACTTTATAGTTTTTGATTTATTGTTCTAGATTTTTCTAGATAATTAATTTTTTTGGTTAATTTTTTTTCTTTTTGCTGGGATTTTTTTTATTGTATAAATCTTTAGTCATTTTTTCTATCAGCATTTTATTTATAGTTTCCATCACATCATTTAAAAACTGAAGTACTCAGCTAAAATTAGATTTAAATATCCATATAGGATATGCAATATTTATATGAAATATATGACACTTATTGCATCTAGGTTAGATGATTTTTTAATCAATGGTTTTTTTCTATCAAGTAATGATGTTTGTTATTTATATGGAATATTTTTATGTGTATTTTTGATAAACTTTATACAAAGAAACTTAGAAAAACATGTAATGGAGTTCAAATAGATAGGTTTATCTTGATATAATATTTTAATAAAAAACAATACAGGACTAAGATAGAACTTTGTTATGCTAAGAAGTTATAAAGAAGAGTGTTGGTCTTTAATGATGACTTTAATATTGCTTCTAGAATAAAATGATTTAATAATTTAAAAACCTGCCCCAAAACACTGTAAGAAGCAAGCTTATGGAGAAGATCAGCATGCAAAACTTTCATTAAAATTTGGCTCTTTTAAAAAAGATTTGGTCTTCAACTAATACACAATAGAACTTTTCTGTTATAACAGTTAACAAGTCAGTTATTAGACTCAAGATGAGATTATAGCAATTTGTTGATTAAATAATCATAAATCTTGTTAACAATAGAAAGAAGACCAATTGGACAATAGTTAGAGTTGTTGGAATGTTCAGAGTTTTTTAAAATTAGAACCATAGATTATTTATATATAGCCATTTTATATATAGACATATTTTTTTAATTCTTTGGAAATAGTTTTGTCTTACCCTTAGGAGAGGTAACTTAAGGTTAGAGGATCAGACCTATGAATTAGAGATTTCATAGGTGGGGTGGGGGATAGCGTTGCAAAACTTTTATTCTTTCAAATTCGATTGTTGAAAATGTAAAAAGGAATATTGTCTCAAATTGTTGCATTATTGATTGTTGAATAACAGAATAAGGAATAATATTGCAAAAGAGTTTGATGAATATTGTCAAAAACAAAAAAAAGGATTTGTGTCCTAAAGGAGTTAATGAATAGTAACAAATAAAAAAGTAATAATATTAATAACTATAAATGTGGGTTTAGATAGCATGTCTGATGTCATACTTAAATAGCCTGCTGCGGGGGGCTATTTCAGGTAGAAAATTCAACATGGAATCTGTAGTAAAGAAGACAGATCTGACAATCAAAGAAAAACATCTTCCTTTTAAAGATTAAGAAAAATAACTAATTAAAAAAAAGTTGCCAAAAGGTTTAGTGTTCCTCAAAACACTTCAACTTACTGGATTAAGCATAAAGAAGACATGATCAGCAAATATGAATCTGGTCAATTTGGAGCAAAAAGATAAAAGTTATAAAAGAGATAAAGCTGTATATGAATGGTTTATGAACGCACGTAAACAAAATGTACCGATTGGTGGACATATCATTAGAGAAAAAGGTTTTGCAAAAGAACTCAACATTGCAGATTTTAAGATTTCTGAATGGTGGCTTTATTGGTGCAAAAATACACTCATTGTTTTTTGATTATTTATAGTCAGAAAAAGTTGTTTACAGAATAAAAGACATCAAGTTGGGAGTAATCCAATTTGTTTACGATCCTCTCAAAGTATGAGGGGTACTTACAATGCTTATGAGTATGGATTATTTTATCAACAGCCTCTTAAGAAAACCTTTCATCAAAAAATTAACAATGTGCAGAAAGAAAATTGAGCAAGTTTCGTTTAACAGGCATAGCAGCAGGAAATAATGTTGGTAGTAAGCTGCCTATGTTTATAATTGGAAAAGCAGAAAATTCATGTTTCAAAGGTGTCAAAAGCCTACCCTGTCAGTGCAAGTCCTAAAATAAACCCTGGATGGACTCTTTACTGATTATGTAAGAAAGCTTGACACAAAGTTTTATGCTGTGGGTAGAAAAGTTATTCTAATTAGGTGACTGCCCAGCTCATTCTAATGTTGACAATCTATAAGCAATTGAATTATTGTTTTTACCACCAAACACAACCTCCAAAATTTAACCAATGGACCAGGAAATCATAAGGGTTTTGAAGGCTTCTATTGTACAAATGTTGTGAGGCGTCAGATCAAACACATTGATGCTGGTAAAACGACCCCAAATATCAAAAACCTTGAAGCTATGAGATGTTGGTTAAGTCATGGGATGCTGTATTGACAAACAGAAAGGTAGACATTTTGCAGTATATACAGGTAGCAAGTGTAAATGGTGAAAAAAATTCTTAGAAATTGCTTGAAAGAATGTCAAAGAGCTTAGATCAGGTTGTTTAGTAGACAAAAATTTTTCTGTTGAAGATTGCGTAAACATAGATTTTGATATATATACAAGCGAAGCAATTGCTATCACAGATTGAGAAATTCTGGATTTCAATTTAATCAAAAATTGTGTTGAAGCAGATGAGAAGATAGATGAAGAGTAAAACGATCTGCCTCCCAAATAATCAAAATTATCAGATATTGCATGTGCAATAGAGTTAATTGAATGTTAGTCTTTTTTTAAAAATAATGGCGTCGAAATCCAACAATTATCAAGTCTAGTATTGCTAAATATTCTTTAGAAACAAAATTTTTAATAAAAATTGTGAAGATTTTTTTTTTTTTTTTAATTTATGTTTTTTTTCAATTTAAGTCTTTTTTTAATTTAAATTTTTTTTAATTTAAATGTTTTTGAATTTAAATTTTTTTAAATTTAAATTTATTTTATTAGAAAATAAAGACTTAAACAGCAAAGTTTTTCCTCTTTATTATTCTCTTCTGTTAAACTTTTATAGTAACTTGAAATAGGTTACTTTAAAAAAGATTTTTTAAGTTATTCAAACTTATAGTTATTCAAAGTATGAGAAATGGAAATATTTTTTAGTTTCAAAAATTTGTTTGAAACCGTTTTTTTTTTAAATTTCTTTTTTTATGTTTCTTTATACAAAAATACACTTTTTTATTTAAAAAATGCACTTTTTTAGCTACATGTTTAAGTGAATGTCATCCTAATGCATCTTGTGTAGGTACTAGTTGTATTTGTCATAGTAGTTTTATTGGTGATGGAGTTAGCATTTGTGAAGGTATGTTGTTATTTTAATATTCTTTGAATATAAATTTTGTGAAAATATATTTTTTCAGTAGATATATGTAAACTTGTTTAATTTTGAAGCTACATGTTCAAGTTTGTGTCATCCTAATGCTACTTGTGTAGACACAAGTTGTGTTTGCAAAAAAGGTTTTCTTGGTGATGGAGTTAGAGTTTGTGAAGGTGTGTTGTTTATTTTAATATATTTTATTGTTTACTCGTCAAATTAGTTAAAATTTCTTAAAAATTAAAATCCTGTGTTATATATCTATCTATCTATCTATATATATATATATATATACATATATATATATATATATATATATGTTTATATATATATATATATATATATATATATATATATATATATATATGTATATATATATATATATATATATATATATATATATATATATATATATATATATATATATATATATATATATATATATATATATATATATATATATATATATATATATATATATATATATATATATATATATATATATGTATATATATATATATATATATATATATATATATATATATATATATATATATATATATATATATATATATATATATATATACACTAGGGTGGGTCACAAAATTTTTTTTTCTTGTTACAGGCTCTAAACACTGCTAGAAAGTTGTTTTTTTATGTACTAATTTAGGGAAGTATTTACTTTTATGGATTGAACAACGTCTTCCACCCGCAACTATAGTTACAAAAATTAGCAGGTCCTATTTTTATTCAAAAAAAAACTTTTTTTTTATTATGTGATTTAGGTACTCAAATAATGCGAAATTTTATAAAAATTTTAAAAATAATAGTTTTTTCATATAAAAATTATTATTTTAGATTTTATTGCATAATAACTATAGTCTTTTAACTAAAAGTAAAAAAAGGTGCATTTTTACATGTTTTTTAATAACAATTTTTAGCAATATAATTTTAATAAAACGATTATTATTTTCGAATTTTTTATAAAATTTCTCTTCTTTTAAGTACCAGGTTGACCTACTATTGAAAAGCTTTTTTTCTCCAAAATATTAGGGTATCGGTAATTTTCCCAATAAAGTTGCGCCCTTTAAATCTATCACAATCATTCTCATATTTGATAGTATCAATATTAATAACTATTAGCAATGTTTAGAGCCTGTAACAAGAAAAAAAATTTTTTTGGCCGACCCTAATATATATATATATATATATATATATATATAGATATATATCATGTTTTATATATAATGGCTATACATATGACTTTGGCAGTTGAATGCTAAACCACACTACCTTATTGCAACTTGTAAAGACTCAAGTTGTGTTTATGGTAGTATTTAATACAATAACATCTGGGACATTTTTTTTTTCAGTTTAAATATCTCCTACTATTTGCATTTCTTTTTTCTAAATTTTTAATGTCATTTTTTTGTATTAAAATTATACATTCACAAACAGTCTATATCCATAGCATACAGTCATTTTATAAAAATAATCAGCCTTTTTATTTTATTTTAAGGCATATTTTGTTTAAATAAATTTTCAATTAAAAAAATTTCTAAAAATTAAAAAAATTTTGTGTATATACTTTTAAAAGATATATACAACATAAAACGTTTTATCATGGTTTAATGTTAGCGGAAAAAACTAGAAATAAATAAGTGTATACATACTTATAATAATCTGTTTTTTTAAACAAATCATTGTTATAAATATGTATACACCTATTTATTCCTCTACTGTAAACTTTTCCCATATAGAACCTAGCTTTCATTTCACTTTATACATTGTACATAGTACAGTTAATGGTAGTGATAAACAATATTCTAGGTTTTATTATCACAATCCTTCTTTAACTCCAAGAAGTGTAAAATACAAAATTGAAAGTTTTAAACTGCTTTATTTAAAAAAAAAAATTTTTTTTTTGAATATGCTTCTCTTAAAGATTTTCTCAAATCCATATTTTCCTCCATGTGGTCTGGTTGTTAATCAACATACATATGAAGTTGATTTTTTGAATATTTTAGTATATATGTTTAATTGAAGCATATCATTCTGACAATCCATATTCTAAATGGGTTTAATTTTTTGTGATTATGCAAAATAATGTTTTTAAATGATAACAGTATTAATTATTTTGATATTAACAGTATTAATTATTTTGATATTTACAAGGTTCCAGAATGCAGACGAATTAAAGATTTTTAGAGTTTTTGATTAGTATATCTAAAGTATACTAAAGCATTGAAAAATTGACTTGATTGAAAATTATTTTTTAAACAATTTACAGTCAAGTCAATCTTAGGAAGAAAATCACAATTAAACAACAAAAAATTAAACAACAAAAATTAAACAACAAAAAATTAAACAAAAAAAAATTAAGCAACAAAAAATTAAACAACAAAGTCTATAATTACTAGAAAACAAACTATTAATGAGCAAGTAAATGATTGACAGAAGACCTGAAAAGTTGAAGTTGTATGAGTTGAAAAATATAAAGCTGGCAGATGGCTTCAAAAAATTGAGGTGCAAAGAAAAAACTAGAGGAAGAAAAATTTTTAGAGCATAAAGAAACAGATGCATTAAAAGGATGCAACTTTTCTGAATAACAAAGGAACTGAGAATGAATTTTGGTGGAACTAGAGAAGTTAGCTGATTTGAGCCATGACCATAATAGTATTTTTATAAAAAAGAAAGAGATGCAACCTTGAGTTCAACAATCTTTTACAATTAAAACAAATTTTCATTCTCTTGTTCTTATTGATAAAATGTTAAATTTAATATTAGAAAATTTCCATTGTTTATTAAATGGTAATGGGGAGGTAAGAGCTAATTTTTGTAACATATTAAAGTCATTTAATTATATCGGCTATTTTGCTTTTTATCTTAAGTTTCATAGATTATATCTGAGTAAGTTTCAAAAGTTGTATTGTATGAATGAATTATATTTTTGTTAATTTTTTTAGCATCATGTTCAGGTGCATGTCATCTAAATGCCACTTGTATTGACACAACTTGTGTTTGTAACAATGGCTATATTGGTGATGGAATGAATAATTGTACAGGTTTGCTTTTTTTTTTTTTTTGTTATTTTTAGTTTTAAAGCACAGTTGTTTTAATTAAGCTCTATAGCTTCTTGATATTTTATAACAATTTATATATACTTTATAAGAATCAAATTTTTATTAATTTTTTCAGCATCATGTTTAAGTATATGTCATCGAAATGCTATTTGTGTTGACACAACTTGTGTTTGTAACAATGGTTTTATTGGTGATGGAATCAGTAATTGTACAGGTCTTTTTTTTTTTTTTTTTTGATTATGTTTTTTTTTTAACTTATTGTTTTTCTTTTTTTTAGTTCTAAAAATTGTTATTTTATAACAATTTATATATACTTTAAACTTTATAACAGTTTATATATATTTATAAGAATTATAATTTTATTAATTTTTTTAGCATCATGTTCAGGTGAATGTCATCCAAATGCTACTTGTGTTGACACAACTTGTGTTTGTAACAATGGTTTTATTGGTGATGGAATCAGTAATTGTACAGGTCTTTTTTTTTTTTTTCGATGATGTTTTTTTTTTAACTTATTGTTTTTCCTTTTTTTAGTTCTAAAAATTGTTATTTTATAACAATTTATATATACTTTAAACTTTATAACAGTTTATATATACTTTATAAGATTTATAATTTTATTAATTTTTTTAACATCATGTTCAGGTGAATGTTATCCAAATGCTACTTGTGTTGACACAACTTGTGTTTGTAACAATGGTTTTATTGGTGATGGAATCAGTAATTGTACAGGTCTTTTTTTTTTTTTTCGATTATGTTTTTTTTTTTTACTTATTGTTTTTCTCCTTTTTAGTTCTAAAAATTGTTATTTTGTAACAATTTATATATACTTTAAACTTTATAACAGTTTATATATACTTTATAAGAATTATAATTTTATTAATTTTTTTAACATCATGTTCAGGTGAATGTTATCCAAATGCTACTTGTGTTGACACAACTTGTGTTTGTAACAATGGTTTTATTGGTGATGGAATCAGTAATTGTACAGGTCTTTTTTTTTTTTTTCGATTATGTTTTTTTTTTTTACTTATTGTTTTTCTCCTTTTTAGTTCTAAAAATTGTTATTTTGTAACAATTTATATATACTTTAAACTTTATAACAGTTTATATATACTTTATAAGAATTATAATTTTATTAATTTTTTTAGCATCATGTTCAGGTGAATGTCATTCAAATGCTACTTGTGTTGACACAACTTGTGTTTGTAACAATGGTTTTATTGGTGATGGAATCAGTAATTGTACAGGTCTTTTTTTTTTTTTTTTGATTATGTTTTTTTTTTTAACTTATTGTTTTTCTTTGTTTTAGTTCTAAAAATTGTTATTTTATAACAATTTATATATACTTTAAACTTTATAACAGTTTATATATATTTATAAGAATTATAATTTTATTAATTTTTTTAGCCTCATGTTCAGGTGAATGTCATCCAAATGCTACTTGTGTTGACACAACTTGTGTTTGTAACAATGGTTTTATTGGTGATGGAATCAGTAATTGTACAGGTCTTTTTTTTTTTTTTTTGATTATGTTTTTTTTTTAACTTATTGTTTTTCTTTGTTTTAGTTCTAAAAATTGTTATTTTATAACAATTTATATATACTTTAAACTTTATAACAGTTTATATATATTTATAAGAATTATAATTTTATTAATTTTTTTAGCATCATGTTCAGGTGAATGTCATCCAAATGCTACTTGTGTTGACACAACTTGTGTTTGTAACAATGGTTTTATTGGTGATGGAATCAGTAATTGTACAGGTCTTTTTTTTTTTTTTTTGATTATGTTTTTTTTTTTTAACTTATTGTTTTTCTTTGTTTTAGTTCTAAAAATTGTTATTTTATAACAATTTATATATACTTTAAACTTTATAACAGTTTATATATATTTATAAGAATTATAATTTTATTAATTTTTTTAGCATCATGTTCAGGTGAATGTCATCCAAATGCTACTTGTGTTGACACAACTTGTGTTTGTAACAATGGTTTTATTGGTGATGGAATCAGTAATTGTACAGGTCTTTTTTTTTTTTTTTGATTATGTTTTTTTTTTTAACTTATTGTTTTTCTTTGTTTTAGTTCTAAAAATTGTTATTTTATAACAATTTATATATACTTTAAACTTTATAACAGTTTATATATATTTATAAGAATTATAATTTTATTAATTTTTTTAGCATCATGTTCAGGTGAATGTCATCCAAATGCTACTTGTGTTGACACAACTTGTGTTTGTAACAATGGTTTTATTGGTGATGGAATCAGTAATTGTACAGGTCTTTTTTTTTTTGATTATGTTTTTGTTTTAACTTATTATTTTTCTTTTTTTTTTAGTTCTGAAAATTGTTATTTTATAACAACTTATATATACTTAAAACTTTATAACAATTTATATATAGGGCAAATCTGTTATACAACCTTTCTTGTAACGTTCAGATTTTGTCACCCCACCTAAAGACAAAGCTTAATTGTTTGCTAAGAAATTCTCATCAATACCATCTCTTGATTCCACTAATCACTCCCTACCTTATATAGCTAAAAACAGGTTATTCAATTGCTTGACCTTCATATTACTCCAGCTTCTGGATCTAAAGTGATTTCTTTCTTAAAATCTTTTACAGCTTGTTGTCTGGACAACATACCTTTTATAGTCTTGCAGAAGTGTTCTCATGAGCTGACACCTATACTTTCAAAACTAATTAACAAGTGCTCTACAGAGTCTTGCTTTTTAGACCGCTGGAAAGCGGTATTTGTTATCCCTAATTTTAAAAATTCTGAAGAGCAATCTGACTAGTCTAACTACTGTCCATCAGGATCTTGCAATGATGCCTTTTCTTTTTTAGAAAAGTTGCAAAACGCATTGTAAAGTAAAGATAAAAAAAACAAAAAAACATTTTTAGACCATTATAAAAATGTTTTCTTTTTACCTAACCCTGATGTTAACGGAAACAGGAACTATTTAAGTCAGTAAAACAATTTGCATGTTTCTAAGTTCAAAGTCACAGACAAATAATATTAACTAACAAATATATAGATAAAAGTGGATTTATCTTATGTTGTTCTGATAACCCAAAAATAAAAATTCTGTGTAACTTTGTTTGTTTTTACTTTAAAATTTGTCTTGTTAAAATTCTTTTCCTTGAAATTCGTTGATAAATAGTGTATAGCTTAACACATTCAAGGTAAAATGTCATCCCTACGGGCATTTGTTTTTCAAAGTTACGTTTTAAATGTCTTTTAAATGTTTTTTATATGTCTTTTAAATGTTTTTTACGTAAGAGTGTTTAGAAGACGTTTAAAAGACATTTAAAATACATTTAGAATGTAACTTTTAAAAGCAAATGTCCTCTGGGATCATTGTAAAATATCAAAACAAATGTATTGACATGTCATCACTGTAAAATGCAAAACAAATGTATTCCAAAAAGTAAAAATATTTGTTTTAAAACATGGCATTTTTGAAAAGATGTTTGATAACATAAATAAGATACATAAAATATTTTTTTCATTTCATTTGCATAAAAGATTGAAATTTTATAACTTTTGTCATCCATCAAAACTATGTTTTGCGGTTAAAAGTAATAAATTAAAATATAAAAAAGTTTTAAAATGATTTTTTTGCCAAAAATAACCAGGTTGTCATTGGAATTAAATAAAATATACATTCACGGCTAAGAGTTTGAAATTTCAATGTTTTCGAAATTTCAGCACAAAAATTATTAAATCTTAGTTGCCTAAGACAGGTTTTCTGTAAAATACTCAAAAAACAGAAAAGTGCTTCTAAATTATTAAAAAAATTTTATTAATATTTGTTTGCATTCCGCTTAATGTAAATATTTATTTAACAAGAAAATATAGATTTTTTATATTTTTTTTTAATTGAAGATGAAAGCATTATAGAAAAAAGCTACTATTATTTTAAAGTTATTGACTTTTTATTCTTTTTTATTTTGATAAACTTGTGATGCCACGCTAACTTTTACATTGAAAAAATGTTTTATGTATATTTCAATGTTTTTTGTATCAGTGTCATATATATCTTTGGGCTTGTGTTTGCTTTTATTTTCTACATGCATTTTCAGCATACCATTGGATAAACTTTTTTTATTATTTTTTATTTTTGAAGTTTGATGGAATTTGAAAAAAAAAATTGATTTAAAAAAAAAATGATTATTTAAAATTTGTTTCAAAAAAAAGTCGCTTAAAATAATTTTATAATAAACTTGGTTGCAAAAAACTTTAAAATTTTTATTGCTAAACCAATAGTATGTATATAAATGTATACTTGTTTTGAATATCTTCAAAAGTATACTACAACATAATTAATGCTAAATTATGTTGTAGACATAACTTTTGTCTTAAATTATGTTTTTATAGTGTTTTTTGGTATCTTTAAAAAAATCATACTTACAAAGAAAGAACCAAACTAGCTACTTTTCATTGAAATCCTTCAGCTTCAGTACAGTTCTATACATTTTCCAAGTTGTTTTTAATTTATTTTAATTTATTTAGTTGTCACCTTTAATTTATTTAGCACTTTAATTATCTTTTTATAATTTTGAAACAAAACTGTTCAACTGTACAACTGTGATCTAGCCGACTACTAAGTATCAGATAAATTTTGCTTTACACACGCTAAAGAAAGAATGAGCTTTTTAAATTAGTATGAAAAAAATATACAGCTTCTGTCCAGTAATTAGCAGCACATTGACCAATTAAATTTAAAGAATGGCAATCAAACAGAATAAAATTAGCACATAAATCTATTTCTAAAATTTTAAAAACTTAGGTCATTGTAGATGCAAGACATATTGTTGCATTGTCATATGGTTGTCCTCAGCATTCTGCCATATTTAGTTTTTACTTATCTAAAAACTTCAATATTACTTCTAAAATTTCATTAGTTTTATGACCAACATTCAAAAAATCGTAAAGTTATCAATTTTATTATTTATTATTATTAATTGCAATTGCAGGGCTCGAATTAACACAAAAAAATCTGAAAGCAAAATATTTTTGAACCTTTTTGTTTTTGGTATATGCTAAAATTAAAATCAAAATTATAATTATAGAGTGTTAAAATCCTTTTAAATTTTTTCAATTTTTTTTTTTTAATTTAATTCTAATCACAAAACTATTTGAACAAAAGAATGTTAGAAGATTAAAATTCATTTGTTCAAATAGATTTCTTAAAAATAAATCCTAAAAACAATTTGTGTATTTATAGAAAATGTTTAATCTTGATATCCCTTTAAATGCGGTAGTGGTGTAGTGGTAGAGCGCTCGCTTCATAAACGAGTGGTTCCGAGTTCGATCCCCACCACGTCCCTGGTAGTACCGCGCTCAACTCGTTTCTCCGCGCAGCGGCTTTGTTCGTCAAGGTTCGTGTTTCGGAGTTATAGAGTTGAGAGAGGGTTATAGCCACAAATAAGTAGCCTCCTCGTCTGTAGTGGCCTTCTCGGCCTTGAGGAGGTGAATTAAAATTAAAAAAAAAAAAAATAAAAAATAATAAAAATATTAAAAAAATTTTCATTATGTGTTTGAGTTAAAATAGTTAAAATAATTTCAAGCTTTTATCTATTTTATAGAAAAAAGCATTTTACTTAAACCTCAATTATCAACTGCATTTTCCACTTTTGCTATATATCATTTAACTACTGCAAATTTATCAACTGCAAATTTATCAACTTTAACAACACTAAAGCAGTTAACAACAATTACAACTACATACCAGGATAATGAATTTACTTCTAAAGGTGTGTATTTTTTGTTATTATTCTACTTAAAGGAAAAGTCAATAAACAATAAAAACAACAACAATAAAATCAATAAACATCAATAAACTCTTAAGTACTAAGACTAAATTGATACTACATTGTACACTTATGTTATAAGAATAATAAGTATAAAGTTTCTTTTGATTTTTCAGTAGAAGAAAAAAAAATTTTTTGCTTGCATTCAGTTTTCTATTTTTATTACGTTTTTTTTTCTTTTGTTTTTTTAATATTTTTTTTTTTAAAGGAAAAGAAAACTGCAACAGTTTACTCAAATTTTGTTATTATCCCCAGTCTCCTTTTGTTTACATTTATTTAAATCATGTTCCACTATGTCAACACTATGTTTAACAACAAAACCTCAATCAACTACTTCATTAGCTGTCAGCAAATTTATTAACTACGATGTTTTAGAATATTTTATAGGTTTACAAGCACAGAATACATATCAGATTTCAGGGTATTCAGAATCAGAGGTGGGCATTTCACTGTTGCTGTCATCATGTTGAGCTTCATGTCTTTTTTCATTACAAAATTCTTTGCCAGACAGACCTACAAAACACAACTAGACTTTAATGTTAAATATAATTTCTCTTTTAAACATTTACTTTTATTCTTATCAGCATTTTGAGTGGTGTCAACTATTTGTTACTTGAAATTTGATTTGTCACAATGGGGTGTGTGACTTTATAATAACGTATAGTAATTGCACTAACACACCTGGAAGTTATATTTACACTTGTAATGTTGGATTTCAATTAGACCAAAACAAAAATAGTTGTGTTAGTATGTTTTTTTGTTTGCTTATAGTCTTTTTAAATTGATAAAATTTAAACTATAATTAAAAAGAATCACCGATTTTGCTTTTGTAACTTGGTTAGTTTTTTATGTGAAGTATTTTAATTTGTTATTTTAAATAATAGGTACAAAGCAATCTTGCAGGGCCAATCAAATACCTTTATACTTCATTATGATGAATATTTCATAAAGATTACAGTTATCAAGTTTTTCTTATCAATTGTATATTGTCAATTTTAAATCCTAAGGAAAATAACAAATCGTTTTTGTAACAAAGCATTTCAAAGATTAATTATTCTGCATAATTATTATTGAATAAAATTTTTCCAGAATCTAGAAATAACAAATCTTTTTTATAACAAAGCTATTAGTGCAATTACTATACATTATTTGTTCAATTTATAAACAGCTAAATTTAAAGTTAGAGAGATTGAAGATACTGCTGTGTTCTGAATGCAAGTTTGTCAATGGCATTGTTTTACATGTAGCTTAAAGGTATATGTATGTCTGATGCAGGTTCATAATTTTAACAGGAGTTTACTAGGTAATCAAACAAATTTTTATAATGTAAAAAAACTTTTATAAAAGCCTTTATACTTTAAATTATATTAAATTGTACTTGTTGTGTTGTAGACTTTCTTTTAGCAATGCACAATGAAGCTTGTGCACTCTTTATGCAATATATATTATTGCATGAGCAATATATATTATTGCATGAGCAATATGAGCAATATATATTATTGCATGAGAAATATATATTATTGCATGAGTAATATACATTATTCCATGTACAATAAATATGAGATAGAGAGCAGATCTCATCAATAGGAAAATTTCTAAATGCATTGATTACAAGGCCAACAAAAGAAAATGGGTTTCAAAGCAAACTCTACGTTTTTTCTATTTCTTATTTTAACTTTAACTATGCAATCATTTCCCCCTATTTTTTCAATATTTGTTAGAAAAAAAATGAATACTTTAGATGTTATTGCTGTAAAACAATTTGTTAAAATTGTTTTAAAAACTTAAAAGAAATTTTTTCACTTTTTCATACTTTTTTGTAAATAAATTTGAAAAATAAAATATTTATGTTTCATAAAATCTCTATGAAAATACGTTCCTTTTGAGACCCAGGATGACATTCTTTTGGTGTATTTTTTTTTACAATACCTCTAATTCCTAATTTTACCTAAAATGCTACAGATTTGAATCTAAATATCTTTATAACCTAAAGTGATGGTGAAAATCGAGTTGCATATTTGAAATCAAATTGAGAAATGCTATTTGAAAAACTTACTTGTTGAACTAAGTTCTAGGTTGTAGTATTTGTTTCTTGGTATGTTTATTATCCAAAAGTTGTATCTTGATGATAATCAAAAACTGATTATCCTTCATTGGCCAAAGGTACTTATATTGATAATTTATTCTAACTTATAATTTATTTGCAGTGATCATAAAACATGCTGTAGAACAGAAAATTCATCCATTGTTTTAGATGGGTACTTTGAGTACAGTACAAAGTATGTCACGATGAAGAGTTAACAGTACTTCAATGCAATTAAAATCAGACACACCTCTCACAAGTTGCATTATTATATTGACCAATTTATGCAACATAATACATACAATAACCATAATTAAAAAGCTCTCATTACAACAGTGATTTTCAACACAAGTTGATCATCATTGGTAATGACACAACCACAATTGAATTACAAATTCCTGACATTGTAATTCTATGCTAAGTTTTGGAAAATCACCTTAAGAACCAAAGGTTATAATTATACAGTTAGCTATTTATCTGTTAAGTTGTACAATAAAAAATATCAAGATGACATCAACATTTTTTATTTTCTAATACAATTTCACAGAAAGCAAAATTGTTAAAACATGCTATATGGATAAAATCTGTTGACAAGATCAAATTCTCAGTAATATTAGCAACAGTTTGTATTTTAGGAATTTACTCGAACTCATGATTAATAGTACATTGTCTGACTAGCGTTTCATATTTTTAGAAAGTATCTAAAGCAATAAAGGTTCTGATATCTGGTGTTATAGTTAAATGTTTAGGTGGTGTGGAATCTTCAATGCAATAATGTATATTGCACATGGAATAATGTATATTACTCATGCAATAATATATATTGCTCATATTGCTCATGCAATAATATATATTGCTCATGCAATAATATATATTGCATAAAGAGTGCACAAGCTTCATTGTGCATTGCTAAAAGAAAGTCTACAACACAACAAGTACAATTTAATATAATTTAAAGTATAAAGGCTTTTATAAAAGTTTTTTTACATTATAAAAATTTGTTTGATTACCTAGTAAACTCCTGTTAAAATTATGAACCTACATCAGACATACATATGCCTTTAAGCTACATGTAAAACAATGCCATTGACAAACTTGCATTCAGAACACAGCAGTATCTTCAATCTCTCTAACTTTAAATTTAGCTGTTTATAAATTGAACAAATAATGTATAGTAATTGCACTAATAGCTTTGTTATAAAAAAGATTTGTTATTTCTAGATTCTGGAAAAATTTTATTCAATATTAATTATGCAGAATAATTAACCTTTGAAATGCTTTGTTACAAAAACGATTTGTTATTTTCCTTAGGATTTAAAATTGACAATATACAATTGATAAGAAAAACTTGATAACTGTAATCTTTATGAAATATTCATCATAATGAAGTATAAAGGTATTTGATTGGCCCTGCAAGATTGCTTTGTACCTATTATTTAAAATAACAAATTAAAATACTTCACATAAAAAACTAACCAAGTTACAAAAGCAAAATCGGTGATTCTTTTTAATTATAGTTTAAATTTTATCAATTTAAAAAGACTATAAGCAAACAAAAAAACATACTAACACAACTATTTTTGTTTTGGTCTAATTGAAATCCAACATTACAAGTGTAAATATAACTTCCAGGTGTGTTAGTGCAATTACTATACGTTATTATAAAGTCACACACCCCATTGTGACAAATCAAATTTCAAGTAACAAATAGTTGACACCACTCAAAATGCTGATAAGAATAAAAGTAAATGTTTAAAAGAGAAATTATATTTAACATTAAAGTCTAGTTGTGTTTTGTAGGTCTGTCTGGCAAAGAATTTTGTAATGAAAAAAGACATGAAGCTCAACATGATGACAGCAACAGTGAAATGCCCACCTCTGATTCTGAATACCCTGAAATCTGGTATGTATTCTGTAGCTTGTAAACCTATAAAATAATCTAAAACATCGTAGTTAATAAATTTGCTTGTAGGATTAAAAAATGTGACTTGTAGGATTAAATAATGCTGACAAGATTAATGACAGTTCATAAGCAAGCAAAGTTGGCAGGATGCAAATTTTAACAATAAATCATCAGCTATAGGGCACATTCATTGTCTCTGTCTTATAGACAATAGTTTGTTGTATCAAACTTTCATTATCTCTGTCTTATAGACAATAGTTTGTTGTATCAAAGCCTTGTTTAAGACAATTTGTGTAAAAATGATAAAATAGATTTTTTTAACTAATTTTGAACATTTTTGAAGTTCAAAAATAGTTGATAATGCTAAATAAATAAATGGTAAGTCCCTCATTACATATGAAATTAAAGCTAAATAGAGGGTTGTATACACACTAAGACGAACAAATAAAAATGATGCAAATGCCCAAAGTATTTAAAGGAAAAGGCAAAGTTGTTCATCAATCCACAATTATTTAAAAATCTATATGCCAGAGTTTATAAGTCTAGCTATTGTAGTATAATATAGCATACTATATTACCATATCCTAATTTATTTTTTGTTGGTCTGCTTTGTAGCTGCTATTAAAATTGTTTCTCCACTTTCATTATGTCATATTTAAATTAAAAAATAGTTTTATGGCAATCCATCTAAACAAAAAGGGTGTGGCCCCATTGACCTTTAATTTAAAAAATAAAAAAATTCTAAAGATATAAATATGAAATTAAAGTCTTTGTTTTTCTTTTTTATTGGTTATTCAATTTATTGAAAAAAATATATATAAATATTATATCAAAACTTACGTATTCTATATAAAAGTACATTTAATCAACATTCTTTATAGAATATTCAAAGATATAGCTTGTGTACTTTTAGTATTTCTACAAAATTGCATTTTTTAATTTAAAATTTATAAATACAAATTTCTATTTTTATTTAAAAAAAAAAAAAAAGAAAGAAAATTACAGCAAACTTTTAGAGTGAATAGAAACATTTAGCATTTGTTTGCTTTATCTGTGTTATTATCACGAGTATGCAAACTATCATTTAGGTGTATTTAAATCATACTCATTTTTGCCAATAGTATTTTCTCTACAAAAAAATTCAATCTCAATTAATAACTGTATTTTTTACTTTAGCTATATATCATTCAACAACTGCAAATTTATCAACAGCATTATCTTTAACAACACCAATGCAATCAACAACTATGCTCCAGAGTAATGATTTGACTACTGAAGGTTTTTTTTTTTTTTTGCTATTATTTTACTTAGAGAAATAAATCTGTCTGCTGACTATTGTCACCAGTCTGCTGACTATTGTCACCAGTCTGCTGACTATTGTCACCAGTCTGCTGACTATTGTCACCAGTCTGCTGACTATTGTCACCAGTCTGCTGACTACTGTCACCAGTCTCCTGACTATTGTCACCAGTCTGCTGACTATTGTCACCAGTCTGCTGACTATTGTCACCAGTCTGCTGACTATTGTCACCAGTCTGCTGACTATTGTTCACATGTATTTAAATCATGTTCCACAGCGTCAACACTATCTTCAACAATAACATTACCTCATTCAACAACTCCATTTGCTACATCAACAAATTTATCAACAATGATATCTTCTACATCACCAGTAATATCAACAACCCTGACAACAATGTACCAGATAATGGATTTGTCTACTAAAGGTGTGTCTTTTTTAAAAAAATGATATACTTGCATCATTTATTTTAAGTATTTTTTAAATCATAGTTTATAATATATAAATGTGCATAAAATTACACTTCATCTATTTATTTATCAATAATTTCTTTATGTTATTTGTTATTTAAAGTCTTCTTTGAAACTAGTATTAAAATAGTTTTATAGTATAAATACTAATTTGTTGTTGTTACTTTTTATAAAGCATATTATAGTCTAATTGCTAATCCATGTAACATAATACTAGGATGCAACTAAAATTGGTTTTAGTATTATTTTGTATACTGAATCATAATTACTACAAGAAAAGTATCCTTAGACAACTTCAAATATTGAAGTTCAAAGTTTACTATTAAAATTTTTTTTTTTTAAATTGGTTGGCGTTGGCTGACTAAAATTTTAATGTTTACTTTGTAAACATTATGTAGCATAATAGTGAACTTTTCTTTTGCAATATTATAAGATTTAAAGCATTAGAAGTATGTTTTTTAGTTTTTTTTAATTTTTTTTTAAAAATTAGAGATCATTTTATATAAATAAAAACTAGAGATTAGATGCAAGGTATTTTATCATTGTCAATGTCATCAAGTTGGGCTTCATAAGTATTTTTTTTATTTTTTATTTTTATTTTAGGTGCTCTAAGAAGTCCTTACGGTCTTATCACAGAGCACCGCGGATGAGCATTTAATAGGAAGTTAACGTCTCCTTCCCAACCGATGTCGCTAAACTTGCCCAAAGGTGGGGTTTGAACCACGGATCCATTGTTTCTAAGACAAGTGCGCTACAACTGCGCCGCGGCTGCTCAAAATTTATGTTGACATGTGCAAAATTCTTTACCTGGCAGATCTACATAAAGACAACTACAGCTTCTAAGCTTTTTGTGGCTTCTCATTATTTGCCTAAAAACTGAGCAAAGAATAATAATGCTATGAGTTTGTTATTCAGTTGTAGTTATGGCAGTACAAGTAATTATTAAATTTTGTTAAAAATCGTTATGTTGTAATGACTGCTATCAACTCATGGTTATTATTTATATTTTTTAGATAAGTTGGTCAATACAGTGTTGCAACTTGTTAGACTTACATGTTTGCATATTTCAAATTTGAGTGTCATCAGTTGTAGGGCATGTGCATAGTCACTGCCTTATTAACACTTATTTGTATCAATATATGTTTTTTTGTCATTTGACAAGGTATAAACTTTCTTTTTCAAAGTAACATAAAATGTTTTTGGCACATAACCACGTAACTCATCAAACTTTAGTTGCTGCTTTTTGCTGAGGCATACAACAGCATCTTTATTTACTTTTGTGTTTCCAATATGATTCTATGTACTCGAACAATCAGGTTGTTTAATCAACAAAATTCTTAAGGGTTCATTTAATCAACAAAATTTTTTAGGATTTTTCTTTATTTTCTGCCAATCATCAGTATTAGATTTAAATTCTCTTTGTGAAACTATAATATCTTTTTTGACTCTTTGGCATCTATCATATTTTGTAGATCTTTAGATTTCTGACTATAAACATACAATGATAATGCGCACTGTTTGCAATGTTATCCTTTTTATTCTACCAGGACCTCTCATTATTTATAAAAAATAAGTCTATTTAAAAAGTCTATTCCAGTTTATGTTAACTTAGAACAGCCACAGTCAAGTGTACATCTACTGAGAGTTTATGTTTTAGGCAAGGCACTTTTTTATTCAAAAGAACAGATTTTCTTGATTTTAAACCTGAAAAAAAAATAGATTTGAATCCCCTTTCCCCCTTTAACAATTAATCACAAAACCACTAACCCTTCCTCCTTACCCCATGACATAATTTGTTGAAGACCCCTTATTATGTATTACTTTCTAAGAATTTAATTCATAAAAAATGTATATTTTAAAAAACATGTTTAAAATGGTTAAAATTAACTCATTAATTTTTTGAAATAATTAATAAATTATTTACTAAATTGTACTTATATGGAAACTTATTAATTTTAAATTAGTAAAAAAAAAAAAAAACATTAAATAAATACGCATATTTAAAAAACATCAAAAAAATATCATTTAAATAAAATGTGCGTATTATTTATTAAATCTATTAAACTTTCCATATTATTATAAAAAATGTTTTTATATTAATAGGATTTCCCATATTAATATAAAAATATTAGCAAAGATTGGAAGTTTATTATTCCAAATTTAATTAAAAACATGTTTTAAATTATTTTTGCAATTTAGTTTTTTCGCTTTTATTGAGTTTGTTTTTTTATTTAGTTTTTTAGATTTAATTGATTTTTATTTTTTATTTTTTCGCTTAAGTTAAGTTCTATTTTCCTTTTTTTTTCTATTCTCTTTTTGTTAAGAACACTTATCTTGTTTGAATAAAAATTTTTTTTAGTTAAGTTTAGATATGGTTTTTCAGCACATTTTTAAAACATTTTTTGAGAAGTCTTTAAACCAAAATTGTCAACTATTGATATCAACTGTTTGATTCAAACTATTGTTCGAATCATATAGTAAATTTCAAGCTATTTACCCCTTTGTAGTTCCAAGCAAACTAATCCCATGTTACAGTATACAATAGTTACTACTATTCATTTGTACCTCATTAACAACTATGCATCAAGTCAATAAGTTGTCTTGATTAATCCACATGATAAAGTCTTGCATCAAGAAACAATTGTAGAGAGGTAGATATTTTGACACAACTCCAGTTATAATTTTTCCAATAAAACATGGAACCAATGTTTTTGCATCACCTTCATTAGAAGGTTTATTGATGTTTCATTGTCATCTTCAGTGCAATTGCGTTCAGTGTAATTCTTTGTTTGTTCAACAGATACTGGCATTTAAGGGTTCAACCCTGGCATCTCTCCCAAAATTATTTAGTTTACCAAATAATAGTAAAAGCAATCCTGAAATTTAAGTTTTTGAAATTTAAGGGTTTATTTTGTTATTTACCTCAATAATACAAATTTTTTTGCTAAGTAAGACTATTTGTTTAACAAACCTTTTAAATTTTTAACTGCATTTGAATTAACAAAATAATTTCTTATTTTGTTTTTTAACCTTTTTTATTTTAATAATATTAAGTTTCTTTGTTTTGATTTAATATATGATTTTACCATAACCCAAACCCTAACTCCTTACCTTTTATCTTGAATTGATGCATTGTTTTAAAACTAAAATTGAAGCTCTATAAACTTCATTTTTTCTCTTCCAGTAACTTCCAACTCTAATAGTGGTTGCTTGCAGCCTTGTTAGAAGTAAAAATGTTGTAAAAAAAAAAAAAAAAAAATTAACAGTCAATTACATTTACATGCATATAGTTTTCATTTTACTTTTTAACATTATTGTTAAACTTTTTACTGTAAACATGTCCGAAACCTTTTTAAAAAATTTTTTTTATTAATAAAATTATTTTCCATTGTTTTAATTGAACATGTAATCAGCCAAGAACCAAGAGGCTGTATGTCCATATTTTGTATTTTTCTGTTTATTATTAACAAATGTTCAACGATTAATAAGGTATGTGTCCAATAAACATAGTCTTAAGAATGATACAGCTTTTTGAAATATTTAAAATGTTGGTTGGACATTCTGTCAAAAAGTTTTTACAAATTAATTTTTCAAACTTTTTGAAACACAAAAAATGGACATATGGTCTCTTAGTACTCGGCTAACAATGTGTTAATGACAAATGGTTTATATAAAGCACATATTGATGTTTCAATAACAATTATACTATTATTGGAAAAAAAATTTTTTTCTTTAAACTGGTATTTTTTTTTCTAATAATGTATAATGTATAAAGGTGGTTAGTTAGCTCAGTTGGTTAGAGCGTCAGACCAAAAGGTAAAACCCAGACTGTTGTAATATACAAGTTCAAATCCTGTCACCGCCATTTCAGCAATTGAGTAGGACTATGGTATGTAAAAATATTTGTCAATAACAGACACTACTTTGGATAAGTCTTAATGATAATTTGTGGCTTTTCCTATGCTAAGCCAACAATATCTTCGGATATCAGAACAATTTATAAAAAAATATAGCATGAAAATTCAAATAAAAAATAATAATAAAAAAAATATTATGTTTTTTTTAATTTTATGTTTTTAACTTTCCATTTTATTTTTAAAGAAAAAGAGTACTGTGACTGTTTGCTAAACTTGTGTTATTATCACCAATCCTCAAACTACTGTTTACGTGTGTTTAAATCATGTTCTTTTACGTCAACAGTATCTTCAATAACAACATTACCTCCATCAACAACTCCGTTAACTACAACAAACTTATCAACTACAATGTCTTCGACATCACCAATAGAATCAACAACCCTAACAACAATGCATCAGATTAAAGATTTAACTACTGAAGGTGAGTGTTTTTGATAAAAAATTATTTGTATTTATTTTACATTTATTTTATGTCATCTTCAACATTAAAGTTTATAATACAATATTACCCATTGTGCATAAAATTTCATATTACCAATTTCTTTTTTTTTTATTAGATTTCTGTTATTTTTCTGAATACATGTATTAAACTTATACAATATTATATATTTTGTTCCTACAGCTTTTTATCTAGTTTTCGATATAATATTTTTAAGCTTTGTTCTATTTACATTTTAAAATAGTTTTCATTTTATTTTTAACATCGTTGTTTAACTTTTTACTGTCGACATGTGTAAAGGAATGTGTAAACTTTTTACTGTCAACATGTGTTTGTGTTTTGTTATTTTTGCTTTTTTTATTTTTTAAAGAGTACTTTAATCAAGCTCTAATTTTTTAACACTTTTCATATATTATACAAAAAATTAAAAATAAACGTAAAAAAAAAAACGTAAAAAAACTACTTACATTTAGAAATGAATAATGTAAGTTTGTGATGTGCAGTGCATATTTTTATAAAGAATACTTGTAATTTTTTTTTTTTTATTTTTTTTTTTATTTGCATTCACTCCCAACAAGGCTGCAAGCAGCCACTATTAAGTTGGGAGTTACTAGGAAAAAAAAGAACAGAGTTATAGAGCAAGGAAACGGTTGACAGAAGACTTGAAAAGTTAAAGGTTGTATGAGTTAGGAAAACATGAAGATGGGAGAGAGTTCCAAAGGATTTAAGTGAAGGGAAAAAAACTAGATGAATAAAAGTTTTTAGAGCATGCAGGGACAGATACAGTAAACGAATGAGACTTAGCTGAATGACGAGTAAAACGAGAATGAATTTTAGTTGATGGAACTAAAGATGATAACTCCTTTGAGCAGTGATCATGGTAGTATTTGTAGAAAAGAGAAAGAGATTTACGATGATGGGAAAGAGGTTCAAGCTTAGCAGATAGTCCAGGTCCAACAACATTTACAATGCGTTTTTGGACCTTGTCAAGAAGAGAAAGTGAAGCGTTAGAAGAACCAGCCCAAATATGACAACAGTATTCCATACAGGGACGAATAAGAGATTTGTAGAGGTAGAGAATGGAATCAGAAGTAAGGAAATGGCGAGCACAATAAAGAGAAGCAACCTTAGCAGAAGCTAATTTAGCAATCGATTGTATATATGGTTTCCATGAAAGGTCAGTAGTAAGCGATAATCCAAGAAGACGTAAAGAAGAGGATTCAGTAAGAGGATTGCCATTCATTAATATAGGAGTGTTGACCATATTACGGTAGTTGTTTGCAGTAAGCAATTGGGTTTTTTTAGAGTTGAAATTCAAAAGCTACTGTGAACCCCAATCTATTACTGAAGTGAGATCGGATTCAAGATCAGCTGCTTGTTCTAGGCGATCAAAAAGAGAAGACTTTTTTTCAAGACAGGAGTATAAAGTTGAGTCATCAGCAAAAAGAGCTACTTTAGATGAAAGGTTGTCAGGAAGATTGTTTATGTAGATAAGAAACAAAACAGGGCCCAGGAAGGAACCTAAGGGAACCCCAGAAGTTACTGGAAATAAAGAAGAGTGTTGGCTTTCAAGAATGACTTTAATAAACCGGTTAGAAAGAAATGATTTGATAATCTCAAAAACTTTCCCAGAAACACCATATGAAGCAAGCTTATGGAGAAGACCAGCATGCTAAACTTTGTCGAAAGCTTTAGATTTGTCGAGAGCAATAGCCCTAGCCTCCTCGCTTCCATCTAATGCACGATAAAATCTTTCATTTACAGCAGTTAGCAAGTCGGCCGTAGAGCGAGAGGATCGAAAACCGTATTGATTGTCTGACAGTAGTTTATTTGACTCAAGATGAGATGTGAGGAATTTTTTGATCAAAAACTCAAAGACCTTGCTAATAACAGAGAAAAGACTGATCGGACGATAATTGGAGGGGTCAGAATTTTCTCCAGAGTTTTTGAATATTGGAACCACAGATGCCATTTTCCAACAAGCAGGAAAACAAGACTCAGTCAAACACTTGTTAAATAGTTTAGAGAGAATTGAAGAAAGTTCTGGAGAACTATTCTGCAAGACTGTGACAGGAATGTTGTCTGGACCACAAGCTGTAGACGAGTTTAATTGAGATATGACTTTAGTAACTGAAGTGATTTGAATGTCTAACAATGGGTCAACCTGTTTGACTGGAATGGAAGGAAGAGAATGTCCATAAGATTCAAGAGTGGAATTAGAAGAAAAGTTCTTTGCAAATAGTTCTGCCTTATCCTTGGGAGAGGTAATAAGATCAGTCCCATGAATAAGAGATGGAATATTAGATCTACCCTTGTTAATAATGCTGTTAAAGATTTTCCAAAAGTCTTTAGAGCCTAACTTGTGGGATAAGATGCGAGATTTAGTGAACTGAGAATAATGGAGTTTAGCATCAGAAAGCACCTTTTTACATTGCTTTCTTGCAATAATAAATAGTCGTTTGTTCTCAAGAGAGTTGTTCTTTTGAAAAAGATGAAAAAAATGATTACGATTGGATATAGCAGCCGCACAAGAAGGAGAAAACCATGGAGTAGAATGAGGCTTGACTTGAAACCGACGCAAAGGAATAAAAGCTTCCATTCCAGCCTGAATCCAGGAGGTTAAGTAGGAGGCGCATTTGTCAGCTGAGAGAGAAAAAACATCAGCCCAAGGGCCATCACGAAGAAAATCACAAAAGGAATCCCAGTCAGCTTTAGGGTAGTAGTAGGTGGTACAATGATAAGGTGAGCCCAAAAAAGAAGTACGAGAAGAAAGATTTATAGAGATCATTGCATGGTCAGAACCACCTAAGGGAGAAAAGGGAGAAACTGAACATAAGCTAGGGTCAGAGACAAGACATAAGTCAAGGAGTGAAGGTAAATGATTAGGGTTGTCAGGAAAACGAGTCACAAAGTTAACTATCTGAGTAAGAGATTGAGAAACGCAGAAGTTAAAGGCTTTAGTGCCAGCAGGATCAGTGGTGTTAGCCAAGCCAATCAGTGTGATGGGCATTAAAATCACCAACAACAACAATATTGGCAGAGGGGTAAAGAGAGAGGGCATGGTCAATTTGATCAGAGATAACATCTAAGAGAGTGCAATCATGGGAAGAAGGAGAACGATAAAGAACAAAGAGAAAGGTGATAAAGTGAAGAGGTGCTAGGCGAAAGCACATAAAAGAATGGTCAAAGGATTTGAACCTGATTTCACGACAATTAGGGTAATTAATGCGTATGTATACCCCTAAACCTAGCATGTGACTATTGGAGTCTTTACGAATCAAAGGATAGTACCCATCAACACTGACATCTGAAGAAGGAACTGCAGAATTTAAATTTGTTTCACTGAGTGCAAGCAAGTCTAGTAAATTTTGCAGGAGGTAAGACTCAACTGATGGAAAATTGCTTCATAGACCGCAAATATTTGTAAAAGATATATTAAAATATTTATGTGGTGGGGATGGTTTTTTAGGTTTTAAATTATTGGTTACTTTGGTCATGATTTGGGTTTAATGAGAACTTGACTCATTCATAGATAGAGCACAGCCTCCTAATCAATGAGCTATGCAGTTGTCTCAGTCCTGTTATTTAACCCTAAGCCGTGACATAGGGCTCCTTATGTGGCCTTGATAAAAGCATTAACAGGGACACCATCCATGCGCAACATGGCACTGTTAATACTCTGATATTTTGCAGCTGTTGATGGAATCAGCCTCTCTGAGAGCTACCACAGAGTTCGGGAAACCTTACTACCAGCCGGCCTCAGAACCATTAAACTGAGTTTTAGAGCTGTACCTTCATATGGAGTTAACAGGAAGAGTTGCATAGCCATTATCAAGGAGGCATAAGCAAAATTCTATGAGTAGAGTCAAGGAGATCCAGCATTCATCATCCTAGGCAGGAAACAATGTAACACAGGTTACATCTACGCCAGCCTAATAGATAAAGAAGGGTTTCGAGGCTGGTTAGCAGAATTTTTCTGCTTACTCCTAAAGTCTTTGCCTAGGAGGCCTTCTACAAGACAGTAGCTGGATGCAGTTAACATCTGCCCAAGATGAGTTTTTTTATCGAGACACCATCTCTAGCCTTTACTTAACCAAGAGCCCCAAAGGCAGGGGATGTTTAGCTGGATGCAGTTAACATCTGCCCAAGATGAGTATTTTTATCGAGACACCATCTCTAGCCTTTACTCAACCAAGAGCCCCAAGGCAGGGGAATTTTTAGTCGGAGTTTATTTCTCCTAGCCTTTGCCTAAGAAGAGCACACTCTGCAAGGCAGCAGTGCTTGTGGCAGGTGGTACTGGGTTATGTGATACCAGTAGCAAGATTGATCTTGATTATCCTGATCTGACCTGGAGTAGTTAAAAGGAGTTACTTCCCGCAACAGTACTTTGAGAAAACCAGGCATGACATTTTGGAAGTGCATTAGGAAAAACACTGCATCTAACAAAATACAGGAGTCTAAGGTGAGTGTAGGTTTTGTAGTTGGAGTAAGTAGTTAGTTATTGATCTCACGCTGCATTAGAGTATAAACAGAACACAAACAAACATAAATCAACTTACGGGTTAGTCAACACCGCGCCAGAGGTTTAGACAGAACACAAACATACATAAAAACCAAAAAGTAACTTACGGGTGAGCAAACACCGCGCCAGAGGTTCAGACAGAACACAAACATACATAAAAAAACATAAAAAATATAAACATAAAGTAACTTACAGGTGAGCGAACACCATGCCAGAGGTTCAGACAGAACACAAACATACATATAAAGTAGATTACAGGTGAGCTAATACAGTAACTAAGGTTGCACTGGGTTACATGTTACCAGTAGCAGGATGATCGTGAAGACCATACTCCTGACCTGACAAAAATGATTAGCAGTATAATGTTTTACACTTTTAGAATTTTGTTTTTTATAATAAAGTAATTTTCTTTTGTTTTAATTTAACATGTATTAATGTGGTATGGTTTATATAAAGAACATATTAGTGTTTCCAAAACATTTAGCAATAACATTTATTAAAATATTATTACTAAATAATTCTTATCTAAATATTCTTTTATTTTTTTTTACTTACATCCTGCAGAATTATTTTTTTAGTACATCCTGCAGAGGAAGAATAATTCCTTAATACTTTTTTATAAGAAGTTATACATTCTAGTAGTAACCAACCCATATTACAGGTTATGATTGGTCTGTTCAACATCTACCATTTTTGAAAATTTGAATTTTGAAAAAATCAAAGTTTCAAAGTTATTTAATCAAAGTTTTATTACTTCGAAACTTAATTATTTTTAAATTTGAAACTTTGATATTTTCTAATCTCTACAAATTAAATAAAACATTGAAAAAAAAATTAACCTTTAGTAGGATTTAAACCCTCATCCAATGCCGATTTAACAGTCACACTTTATAAATGACACAAATAATCAATCTAAATTCTACATCAACATGGTGATATAAGAAAAAGTATTACCATTAAACTTTTAATTAAAATGCTTTTAAATTAATTAAGTTTGAACTATCAATTGAGATGCTTTTAAAACAAAAAATTTATTAGTTTTATGCTTAAAAAAAATTTATTAGTTTTATTTTCTCTTTTTTATCCTTTATCTTATTTATCATTTGTTAAGTTTGTTGGACTTTTCAGTTTATTGTTTATTTTTAATTTTCTCCTAAAATTTGGTTTTTACAGCACATTTTTAAAACAAATTATTTTTAAAATTAAATTTTAAAAACACAAATATATGCTAAGTTGTCAAAAAAAAAAAATTGTATTTATAATCTCCAGAGAATGCTTGAAAGGTATAAAATAATCTTTCAACTAAAAACTTAAATTATTTGAATAATTTACAACTAACATAGGTCATGTCAGTTTGAGACAGAACCATTTGCAACAACTTTTCTAAAGTTCAACAAAATAAGTTTTAGTTACTAATATAAAATAGTTATACTTAATCATGCTTTCAAAAAAAAACATATAAAAATAGAGTTGACAATAACTTCGAGAACTATCTTGCTTTGGCCTAAGATTACACACAACTTAATCACATGTTTTAAAAGATGTGATGATGTTGTGTGTAATCTTAAGCCATTATGAATAATATAATCACATGTTTTAAAATATGGCAATCTATGATTTACAGGTTAAGCCACATTATCTTTAAATGAAGCAAAAGAAGGACATTATATTGAGCAATATATCAGGCATTATAATCTTTAATAAATTTAAAAAAATTCATATTGGAATTATGATCTCCCTGTAAAATAATCATGTAAAGCTTGTGAAAATGGTGAAATTGAAGGCAAAACCTCATTTCCATTATGGTAACATAAAAATGTCTTTCATCATTAAATGTTTTAGCACTAAAACGCTGACATATCTTGTTCAATTCTCCTAAAAATATACAATCATGAATAGTATTACATCTTGCTATACAATGCATTCTTCCTTTTCTAGTAGCATTTTGTAGATGATTAATTTCATCATCTTGGTCAATCTCTTTTATTTCTGCAATGATTATTTTGCCTAACCAAATTGTCCTCATTTGGATTCAAATTATGTTCTAAGCCAACTAGCATCATATTGTAAATTTTTTAGATGAATAATTTTATTTTGCCTAGCTCAGTTTTATTCATTTTGAAAACCACATAATGGTTCAAATTAATTTCTGCCCGCAAAGCAGCATTTCTTACATTTCAACAACAATTAATTTCATCGTGTCTAGCTCTATCTTTTTCATTTTGGCTACAATTATTTCAAGTCACCTATTAGCATTTACACTAATAACTTCTTCAAACCTAATATCATCCATTTCAATTTCACTGTTATCATTAAAAATATTAGCAGTAATGTTACTATTTCTACTACTAAAGTAATAAATAAAAGTAAAAAAGTCTTAATAAATCTGCTTTTATAGTTTAAGATTTTAATATCGCTCTTGACATTTCTAAGGCATTTGATAAAGTTTGGCATGCTGGTCTTTTCCATAAGCTTTCTTCTTACGGTGTATCTGGAAACATTTAAGATTATCGAATCCTTCCTTTCCAATTGTAGTATAAAAGTTGTCCTTGATAGACTGCACTCTTCTTCTTATTCTGTAACCTCAGGGGTTCCTCAAGGTTCAATCCTTGGACCTATGCTCTTTTTAATTTACATTAACGATCTTCCAGATTTTCTCACATCTAAGATGGCATTGTTCGCTGATGATACTACCATTTGTTCTTGTCACGATAAGAAGCCAACTCCCTCTGATTTTTTGCAGGGGGCATCTGAGCTTGAAAAGGATCTCATTTCTGCTACAGCATGGGGCTCACAGTGGCTGGTGAACTTTAATTCAGATAAAACTCAATTTTTTTAGGCCAATCATTATTGCAATAATTTAGACCTTCCTATATTTATGAACGGTAATGTACTCGATGAGTCTCCTACCCTTCATCTTCTAGGATTAACTCTTACTTCTGATCTTTCTTAAAAACCTTATATCAAATCCATTGCAAAATTAGCATCTGCTAAAGTTGCTTCTCTTTATCGAGCTCGTCACTTTCTTACTCTGGATTCTATTCTCTATCTCTATAAATCTCAAATCCGGCCTTGTATGGAATACTGTTGCCATATCTGGGGTGAATCTTTTAATGATGCCCTTTCTCTTTTAGACAAGGTGCAAAAACGCATTGTAAACATAGTTGGACCTGCTCTTGCAGCCAACCTTCAACCTATGTCACTTCGTCGTAATGTTGCTTCTCTTTCTCTTTTCTACAAATACTATAATGGGCACTGCTCTAAAGAGCTAGTATCTCTTGTGCCATCTACAAAAATTCATTCTCGTGTTACTCCTCATTCAACTAAGTCTCACCCTTTTTCTGTTACTGTTCCTAAGTGCACCACAAACTCTTATTCGTCTAGTTTTTTTCCTTGAACATCAGTTCTTTGGAATTTGCTTCCTTCATCTTGCTTTCCTGATTCATATAATTTGCAATCTTTTAAGTTGTCTGACAATTGTTATCTTGCTCTACAATCTTCATCTTTTCTCTTCCAGTAACTTCTAACACTAATTAGTGGTTGCTTGCAGCCTTGTTGGAAGCAAAGTTGTTAAAAAAAAAAAAAAAAAAAAAAAAATTGATTTAAGACTTATTGCGATTTAAATTGTTATGTAAGTTTATATAGTTAACTGTATGTATAAGTTACAAAATAGTACTACAAAAAAATAAATACTAACTGATTATGGAATGAACTTAGATTAGTTAATCAAAAATATAAAACAATATTAAAATCAGTTATTTTTAATTTATCAAAGAATGCAAACTACAATGCAAAATCTTGTTTTAAAAAATGAAGTAATGTCAGTTAGTATATTTTACTCTAAAGAAATAATTTTATTTTATTTTGTATTTAGTTTCCTATATTTTTTTTTGTTTATTTATCTTTCCATTTTATTTTTAAAGAAAAAGTGTACTGCAACTGTTTGCTAAACTTGTGTTATTATCACCAATCCTCAAACTATTGTTTGCGAGTGTTTAAATCATGTTCCTTAACGTCAACAGCATCTTCAACAACAACATTATCTCCATCAACAAAACCATTAACTACAACAGCAAACTTATCAACTACAATGTTTTCGACATCACCAATAAAATCAACAAGCCTGACACCAATGTACCAGATTGAAGAATTAACTACTAAAGGTGTTTCTTTTTAAAAAAAATTATTTGCTTTTATTTAAAATTTAAAGTAATCTATAACATTATAGTTTATAATACATTAATACCCATTGTGCATAAAATTTCATATTATCAATTTATTTGGAATATATAGCTTTCTGTTATCTTTCTGGATTTAGGTAGTTTTTACAAAAATGCTTATTTTGTTTCCACTATTTTTTATCTTAATATTTTTATATGAAGTTTTTATATAATATTTTACATTAAGTTTACAGCCTTTATTTTATTTACATGCTAAAATAGTTTACATTTTATTTTTTAAAATCGTTGTTGAACTTTTTGTTGTCTACATGTGCAATAGTTTTTTAGAATTTTTTTTTTTTTTGTAATAAAGTTATTTTCCATTGTTTTAATTTAACTTGTATTAATGAGGTATGGTTTATATAAAGCACATATTAGTGTTTCAATTATATTTATTTATAACATTGGCTAAAAATATTTCTTTTTACCCCGTATATAGTTTCCTATTTTTAGTTTTTATTTCATTTTTTATTTTTCCATTTTACTTTTAAAGAAAAAGTGTACTGCGACTGTTTGCTAAACTTTTGTTATTATCACCAATCCTCAAACTATTGTTTGCGTGTGTTTAAATCATGTTCCTTTACGTCAACAATATCTTCAATAACAACATTGTCTCCAACATCAACTCCATTAAATACAACAACAATTTTATCAACAACAATGTCTTCGACATCACCAATAGAATCAACAACTCCGACAACAATGTACCAGATTAAAGATTTAACTACTGAAGGTGTGTCTTTTCAAAAAAATTATTTGCATTTATTTTACATTTATTTAATGTAGTCTATGACATTAAAGTTTATTATACATTATTACCCATGTTTTTTTATTTTTTAATTTTTCCGTTTTATTTTTAAAGAAAAAGTGTTCTGCAACTGTTTGCTTAATTTGTGTTATTATCTCCAATCCTCAAACTATTGTTTACGTGTTTTTAAATCATGTTCCTTTACGTCAACAATATCTTCAATAACAACATTGTCTCCAACATCAACTCCATTAAATACAACAACAATTTTATCAACAACAATGTCTTCGACATCACCAATAGAATCAACAACTCCGACAACAATGTACCAGATTAAAGATTTAACTACTGAAGGTGTGTCTTTTCAAAAAAATTATTTGCATTTATTTTACATTTATTTAATGTAGTCTATGACATTAAAGTTTATTATACATTATTACCCATGTTTTTTTATTTTTTAATTTTTCCATTTTACTTTTAAAGAAAAAGTGTACTGCGACTGTTTGCTAAACTTTTGTTATTATCACCAATCCTCAAACTATTGTTTGCGTGTGTTTAAATCATGTTCCTTTACGTCAACAATATCTTCAATAACAACATTGTCTCCAACATCAACTCCATTAAATACAACAACAATTTTATCAACAACAATGTCTTCGACATCACCAATAGAATCAACAACTCCGACAACAATGTACCAGATTAAAGATTTAACTACTGAAGGTGTGTCTTTTCAAAAAAATTATTTGCATTTATTTTACATTTATTTAATGTAGTCTATGACATTAAAGTTTATTATACATTGTTACCCATGTTTTTTTATTTTTTAATTTTTCCGTTTTATTTTTAAAGAAAAAGTGTTCTGCAACTGTTTGCTTAATTTGTGTTATTATCTCCAATCCTCAAACTATTGTTTACGTGTTTTTAAATCATGTTCCTTTACGTCAACAATATCTTCAATAACAACATTGTCTCCAACATCAACTCCATTAAATACAACAACAATTTTATCAACAACAATGTCTTCGACATCACCAATAGAATCAACAACTCCGACAACAATGTACCAGATTAAAGATTTAACTACTGAAGGTGTGTCTTTTCAAAAAAATTATTTGCATTTATTTTACATTTATTTAATGTAGTCTATGACATTAAAGTTTATTATACATTATTACCCATGTTTTTTTATTTTTTAATTTTTCCATTTTACTTTTAAAGAAAAAGTGTACTGCGACTGTTTGCTAAACTTTTGTTATTATCACCAATCCTCAAACTATTGTTTGCGTGTGTTTAAATCATGTTCCTTTACGTCAACAATATCTTCAATAACAACATTGTCTCCAACATCAACTCCATTAAATACAACAACAATTTTATCAACAACAATGTCTTCGACATCACCAATAGAATCAACAACTCCGACAACAATGTACCAGATTAAAGATTTAACTACTGAAGGTGTGTCTTTTCAAAAAAATTATTTGCATTTATTTTACATTTATTTAATGTAGTCTATGACATTAAAGTTTATTATACATTATTACCCATGTTTTTTTATTTTTTAATTTTTCCATTTTACTTTTAAAGAAAAAGTGTACTGCGACTGTTTGCTAAACTTTTGTTATTATCACCAATCCTCAAACTATTGTTTGCGTGTGTTTAAATCATGTTCCTTTACGTCAACAATATCTTCAATAACAACATTGTCTCCAACATCAACTCCATTAAATACAACAACAATTTTATCAACAACAATGTCTTCGACATCACCAATAGAATCAACAACTCCGACAACAATGTACCAGATTAAAGATTTAACTACTGAAGGTGTGTCTTTTCAAAAAAATTATTTGCATTTATTTTACATTTATTTAATGTAGTCTATGACATTAAAGTTTATTATACATTATTACCCATGTTTTTTTATTTTTTAATTTTTCCATTTTACTTTTAAAGAAAAAGTGTACTGCGACTGTTTGCTAAACTTTTGTTATTATCACCAATCCTCAAACTATTGTTTGCGTGTGTTTAAATCATGTTCCTTTACGTCAACAATATCTTCAATAACAACATTGTCTCCAACATCAACTCCATTAAATACAACAACAATTTTATCAACAACAATGTCTTCGACATCACCAATAGAATCAACAACTCCGACAACAATGTACCAGATTAAAGATTTAACTACTGAAGGTGTGTCTTTTCAAAAAAATTATTTGCATTTATTTTACATTTATTTAATGTAGTCTATGACATTAAAGTTTATTATACATTATTACCCATGTTTTTTTATTTTTTAATTTTTCCGTTTTATTTTTAAAGAAAAAGTGTTCTGCAACTGTTTGCTTAATTTGTGTTATTATCTCCAATCCTCAAACTATTGTTTACGTGTGTTAAAATCATGTTCCTTTATGTCAATAGTATCATCAACAACATCATTGTATCCATCAATAACTCCATTAACTACAACAACAAACTTATCAACTACAATGTCTTCTACATCACCAATAAAATTAACAACCCTGACAACAATTTACCAGATTAGAGATTTAACTACTGATGGTGTGTGTTTTTGAAAAAAAAATTTTTGTTCTATTTTACATTTATTGAATGTAGTCTATAACATTAAAGTTTATAATGCATTATTAACCGTTGTGCATAAAATTTCATTAGCAATTTTTTTTTATTATTAGATTTCTGTTGTTTTTTTTTCTGAATTTATGTATTAAACTTTTACAATATTATTTATTTTGTTCCTATAACTTTTTATCTAGTATTATAAAGCTTTAATATATTTATATGCTAAAATAGTTTTTATTTTATTTTTTAACATCCTTGTTAAACTTTTTACTGTAAACATGTCTAAAACCATTTTTAGAAAGTTTTTTTTTTAATACAGTTATTTTCTATTGTTTAAATTTAACATGTATAAATAATTCATGGTTTATATAAAGGACATATTATTGTTTCAAAAACATTCAGTAATAACATTGGCTAAAATTTTTTTAATTAAATAAATCTTATCTAAATATTTTTTATTTTGTATTTAGTTACATATTTTTTATTTTTTTTATTTTTTTTTAATTTTCCATTTTACTTTTAAAGAAAAAGTGTTCTGCCACTGTTTGCTAAACTTGTGTTATTATCATCAATCCTCAAACTATTGTTTGCGTGTGTTTAAATCGTGTTCCTTTTCGTCAACAGTATCTTCAACAACATCATTGTATCCATCAACAATTTCATCAACAACAACAACAAACTTATCAACCGCAATGTCTTCAACATCACCAATAGAATCAACAACTCTGGCAACAATGTACCAGATTAAAAATTTGACTACTGAAGGTTTGTCTTATTGAAAAAAATTTATTTGTGTTTATTATAGCATTTATTTAAAGTAATCTATAACATTATGGTTTATAATATATTAATACCTATTCTGCATAGAATTTCTTATTATTAATTTTTTGCCATTAATAGCTTTATGTTGTATTTTTTGAATTAATGTGTTAAACTATAAATTGATATATTATCTAAAAAAATGATTAAATTTAAAGTTTATCTTTAAATAGTTTTTTAAATAAAATTTTTAATTAGAAAATTATTATTTGCATTTACTTTTAATAGAATTAGAATAATATATTAGAAAACCAAGAAAAAAAAGTGTATATATAGTTATAACAGCCTAGCTCTATTAACACAAAAGGCAGCAATATAGTATAAGAGGTTTATAAGCATGTATTACATTTTGCCGAATATTAAAAAATATTACTATGTCTCCGAAATAATTAAAAAAGGCTAGACAACTTTAACTAATAACACAACTTATAGCTTTTAAATAATACTTAATATAAGTAAGATATTTTGTCAGTTAATATACTTGAACTAAAAGGATTTGATTTAATACAACATTTGAACAAACGAGGGACAATTCTATTTTGAACAATTATATCTAATTAAGAAATACTTGAAAACTCAGTTATTACATAGAAGGTTCCATAAATGCTTTCTAAATTAATAAGCCCTTGTTTATGAGAGAGTTAAGCAGACAGCATTTCCAAACACTCTGAAAAAAGTCAAGACATCTAATAAATAGAAAAGTTATTGTTAATGACAATGACAAATTCAATATAGTTACTCAAAACAGCTATAACACAATTAACTATAAAACATGTTGTGTGATGTTACCACTTATCAAAATTAGTTTTAGCTCAATTATGCAGAATTCTAATTTCTTCTTAACTGTTGACTAATTGTTGATTAATACAGTCAATTTCATATCAAACAAATTTACTAAATTTAAACCATGTTTCAACAGTAAGCAAACTTTTAAAGCGATGACAAAAGCTACTTGAAAAAAAAAAAAAAAAGAACAGCATAATTAGATGTTTATTAAAGACTATTTTAAATTTTTATTAAAAATAGTAAAATTAGGTTTTTTTAAAGTTTATAAAACAAAAACAAATCAACAGACATTAACACGGATCAATACTGAATTCTGGCAAGTAACACCATAACTTTGTTGCTCTACACATTGCAAGTTAACAGGGCTTTTAAAACATGGTTTAACATAATACAAACATATATAAGCTATTAAAACATCATGCAGCACATATAAACATACATTTAAAAAAATATAAATTATTACCTTAATCAATTTCAAACCTAAATAAAAACTTACACAAATTATTATTGGTTAATAAATTTAAAAGGAAAATGTTTAGTCATTAAAATAAACATAGTATTAAAAATTAAAATTTTTTTAGAAAAAGAAACAGGCTAGAAATCAATGCATTAAGGAATAAAGCATTATTTTGCAATCTTTTTCCAAGGAGACTTTATAGATATTTCTTAAAGGTTATTAATTTAAAAGAGAAACATTTAACTGAAGAGAAACATTACGACGATGTGATAATGGTTGAAGGTTGGCTGCGAGAGCAGGTCCATCTATGTTTACAATGCGTTTTTGCACCTCGTCTAAAATAGAAAGGGCATCATTAGAAGATTCGCCCCAGATATGGCAACAGAATTTCATACAAGGCCGTATTTGAGATTAATAGAGATAGAGAATAGAATCTAGAGTAAGAAAGTGTTGAGCTCAATAAAGAGATGCAACTTTAGCAGATGCTAATTTTGCAGTTGATTTGATATATGGTTTTCAAGAAAGTTCAGAAGTAAGAGTTAATCCGAGAAGATGAAAGGTAGATGACTCATCGAGTACATTACCGTTCATAAATATAGGAAGATCTAAATTTTTGCGATAACGATTGGCTGAAAAAAATTGAGTTTTGTTTGAGTAAAAGTTTACCAGTCACTGAGAGCCCCATGCTGTAGCAGAAATGAGATCCTTTTCAAGCTGAAATGCCCCCTCTAAGCAGGAAATCACTTTAGATACAGCACCTGGAGTGATACGAATGTCAAGCAATTGATCAACCTGTTTGATGGTATATCAGGTAGAATGCAACTAATGGAATCAAGAGGTGATATTGATGAAAAGCTCTTGGCAAATATTTCGGCTTTGTCTTTAAGTGAGGTGACAAAGTCTGAACAATACAAAAGAGGTGGAATTACAGATTTGCCATTTTTATTGATACTATGAAAGATTCTCCATAAGTCACACCTGCTTGAAATGTGTTAATTACCATCGATCTAAAAAGTTTCAAAAAGTATGTGATGACTTAAATATGTGGAAAAAGGACTTACCATGACCCGTTTAATGCTGGTCATACTAAGTCTATTCCGACACATCTTTACTAAAATTCAATATAAAAATCTTTGTTTTGAGTTAATGAATAAGGTTCAAAACTTTATAACTAATTAATGTAACAAAACAAAAAAAACGGGGACAAGGATTTTTTTTTTTTTAAATAAGTTTCTAAAAATTTTTTTTCAGATCTGCAGCTTATTAGGACTCTTGCCCCATTATTTTTTAAGAAAATTAAGTTTGCAGTTAAAATCTTTTTCTAAAAGAAAGAAAGTTTTCTCTTTAATGTGCAGGCTTAACTAATTACCAAGCACATTAATAAATTCAGTATCTCTATTATGACATATACACAACAAATTTTTTACAGTGTTATCATGTTTTTAGAAATTTTTAAAGCTTTTTAATGTTTTCAAAAATTAAAAAAAAATTTATTAAAAAATCCTCTCCCCCCTTCGTTTCTTATAGTATATAATATCTTTATATATGTTATGCATATAATATTTATAGGCCTTTAAAAATATATTTCTTTGTATTTTAGAAAATTTGAAAAGATTTACAAAAAAATAATTAAGTGTGTAAATGAAATGGTTTGAACCCACGTGAAGTACTTATATATATACATATATATATGTATATATATATATATATATATATATGTATATATATATATATATATATATATATATATATATATATATATATATATATATGTATATATATATGTATACATATATATACATATATATATATATATATATACATATATATATCCTATCTATATATTTATTCTATATATATATATATATATATATATATATATATATATATATATATATATATATATATATATATATATATATATATATATATATATATATATATATATATATATCCTATCTAAATATCTCTATACACACCTCTCCTCATACTTTACTTTCTGCAAGATCCACCCTCTGTATTAAAAACTAAATATATAAAAGGGGGAGGGGGAAGAGGAGCTTTTGCTCTAAAATTTAAGCCTACACCATATGTGCCTTATGAGTTGCGGGCCCTCTTTTTGTTCTGCAAAATGCTGAAAAAGCATTGTAAGATATATCTAAAATGAAAAAAAGAAATGTTATGAAATGATAAAAGATTTTAAAAGTAAAATTATTAAGGATTAACACTGAAACCCATTATACCTGTTGCTGATGTTTTTTCCAGAGCATTGTTAAAAATAATCAAAATCTACAAGGAAAGACATTTATTGCAAAGACAATTAGAGATTACACAAAGTAACAAAAACATTGTAGCTATCAGTGCAAAAAATATTTGTAATTTGACCAGAAAATAAAATTAATCTTATATTGATTGCAACAAACTAATTTCTTTTCAAACTATTAGGTAATGATTAACATAGTAAATTTAAAATAATTAAAGTTTACTAAATTAAAATCATATTTTAACAGTGGACAAAGTAAACATATAGTAGTTGGTAGAGCTCCAAAGTAGAACTAAAGAAATAGAATAACAACTAAATTAAAAATTTTAGCAATTCATAATACTTGCAGTTAAACATGAAAAACTATTATTCTACTATTATGAGATAATAAAGGTAAAGTTATAAAAACAAACAAAAAATAAAAATAAAAAATAAAAAATAAAAAATTTAGTAAAATGTTAATTTTTTTTATAAGAATGATCCTTTTCATTAAAAACAATGTTTTCTTAAACATATTGATAAAGAACAGTGAAAAATTTAATTTTAGGTTGTTTTATATGTAAGTACTTATTAGATACCTATGAATACCTATATAACTGTTATATAACTATGAATACCTATATAACTGTAATATAACTGTTGATTATTATAGAAATTAATTGCAATTTAAAGTATTCACAAAATCTTAAATGACAATATATTATTTTGACACGGAAAAACATAAACACTGTCACAGCAGCTCTCTTAATATTCCAAATTTAATTCAGAATAGAAAGAAAAAAAAGAAAAGTTGTTATTATAACTAAATTTATAAGACTGAAAAAAGTTAGGCTTAAAAGTAAAATTTATTTTAATTTACATTTTTAATTACATTTGAAGTAAATTAATTTTAAAATTACTTTTTTTAAAAGGTTTTATATTATATATTTTTCAAAACATACCTATTCTATTTGTAGATGTAGTTAAGTATTTTCCACTGCTCACTCATGGTAACAGCACAACACTTCACTTATGGTAACAGCAATGTATCCAGGCCGATTTTGATACCGGTATACCGGTATGGGCCTCCTAATTTCTGCCCAAATTTAATTTAAAATAGTTTTATATTAGCACCAAGTTTATCATAGAAATATTAAAATAAAACAATGCTTTATTGCTTTTTGTCTTGTTGTTTTGTTATTATTGTTATTTAGAAACGACTTTTAAAACAGATTACTTATATATTTTAAGCCAATCAAAATGCTTTATTTAAATTCACGTGGATGAAATATGATTAAAGTAAGAAACGCTTAACATTTATATTCTTAAATAAAAACATCAACTTGTTTTAAAATACACTTAATACACTTCTCCTCCGCTCAATATTTTTATAATTTACAAAGCAATTAAACTCTATAAGCTTTCAACTTTATTATTATAAATAAATAGTAAAATTGAATTAAAAATATTTTAAATAACAAAATAAATAAAAGTTTTTTAAAATGTAATAATATTCACGCCAAAAAATTTGATTTAAAAAGTAAGAAAAGAACAATAGAAAAAAGTGCTTAACTTTTGAATGAATTAATGACCTTGCTTTGCAATAAATATACTATGTGATAAATAAAAAATATTGATAATATGCTATGTAATAAATAAAGCATATAAATATATTTATTGAATGTTATAATTCTAACAGTTCCTTTACGAATACCTTCAATCAAGTGTACTCATGGAAGAACCTATAAGGAATTAAATTTGATTTTATTCTTTATATTAGTTAGCAAATGAAGCATATAAATGAAAATTAGTGGCAAGTTGAGGTTGGCGTTAAAGCTGTTTACATAACATTAATGACTATTTTGGTTATTTTATTTTTTTAGAAAAACGTAAATTACTAGGATGAGGTATAATATATATAATATATATATATATATATATATATATATATATATATATATATATATATATATATATATATATATATATATATATATATATATTTATATATATATATTATATATATATATATATATATATATATATATATATATATATATATATATATATATAATATATATATATATATATATATATTTTTTGTCTTCTATAAAAAATAAAAAGGTCCTCCAAACAACAAAATATTTAGACCAGACCAAAAAAATTCTGGATATGTCTCTGGGTAATGGGAATACCTTCCCTTTAACATATTGAGGTGAAATTTTATTGGCTAATCTAGGTATAGAACAGTTTTTTTTAGAAATTGACGATTGTGCCCCTCCACTTTAAAATCTGTGTCATTGGCCATGACAGAAAATTACAAACTGCGACTTCACAACAACTTGGAAAATTAAACACATTTTATTTAAACCTTTCATAAGTAAATTTATAACTTCATTACATTTAAAAAAATACAAACACTTACGTAAGTTTAATAATTAAGTTTATTAATTTTATGAAAAATTCTTTAAAAGTAAATTTGAAAGATTGTTTAAAAGTAAATTTAAAAGATTCTTTAAAAAAATAATTAATTTTATAAAATCTAACCTGAATATCACCACCAGACAATAACACTGTACTGAATAATTAGATTCATATAAAACATGATTGAATATCTAACAAAAACAAAAATAATTAAAAATAAATAACAGCTTATTTATACCACAAATAAGGTCATCTTCAGCTTCTATAAAGTTAACAACTTGTCAAGATAAATAAATACAGTAAAAAATTAAACTTAAGTAACTTTAAAAGCAGGGTAAAAAATTACAAAATACAGATAGTATTTATAAATAAAAATATTTTCAATAGTTACAATATTTATGATAATGATAAAAGAGAGATTCAAAGATATTTCAGAGATTTATGAAAGTTATATAAGAAGTTCAAACACTTACCGTGTGCACATCTACAGTGGCTCATGCATTACAAGTTTGTTGAAAGTCTATTTGCATAAACTTTTGTTCAAATTTTTTTCAAAAAATTTTTGGGAGACACTTTCTCGTTATTATCTTGTATACAATGGCTGCTGCTGGTTTTGTGCAAACACGCACAAATGAGCATTAATACTACTACTATTAAGTTAAAATAATATACAGTGATCTGTACTTTTTTAAGTAATCAATCAAATATTATTTTTTTTTTTATTCCATAGAATAAAATTCCTACTTATGTTAAAAAGTATTCTCAACAACAGCTTAAATCATTTTTGTTGTTGTTGGAATTTATTTATTTTGATTATGTAATATCATGTAATATTGACAAAAAGTTTGCATGAAGAAACCATTGGTATTTCTTATCACTTTACTAAATGAAGCAAACCAGGGTTTTTAATTTTAGTTTTAAATTCATGTTTTTTAAATAAGGTAATTTTTTTTTTTTATCTTTTAATTTTTTTATGTAAGAAAAAGAGTTCTGCAACTGTTTGCTAAACTTGTGTTATTATCACATGTCTTTGAACTATTGTTTACGTGTATTAAAATCATGTTCAAATACATCAACGACACCTATACCTACCTTACCTCCATCAACAACTGCATCAGTAAAACCAACAACCCTAACATCAACATCCAGACTAGTTGATTTATCTATTAAAGGTATGTTTTTTTTATGATTAACTTGCATTATTGATATGAAGTCTTTTACAGAATTATAATTAATGATTTATTACTATGCATTGCATATAAGACTACATGTTATTAATTTTGTTCAAAAAATAAACTAATGCAGTCAATTGTTTAATCAATCAATATTACATTTTTTTTATTCCAGAAAAAAAAAATTTAATTTTTGTTAAAGCATTTTCAATAATTTGTCAATAATTTTTTTTATTTTGTTTGAATTAATTTGTTTTTGATAATTATGTATTATTGAAACAAAGTTTGCATGAAGAAACTATTAATATTTCCTATTATTCTTTCAAATTTAGCAAATAAGAGTTTTTAATTTTTGTTTTGAATTCAGTTTTTGTTATTTAATGTTTGTTTCTTTTCTTTGGTTTTTTTGAGCTTTTCAATTTTTTTTTTAAAGAAAAAGAATTCTGCAACTGTTTGTTAAGATGTATTACTATCATAAGTCCTTGAACTATTGTTTATTAAATTCATGTTTAACTACATCAGCTACATCTTCAACAATTTTACTTCCATCAACAACTGCATTTGATGATTTAACAACCTATTCAATAACTCAAACAAATCTCTCAAGTACGATTTCTTCAACATCATCAGTAGAACCAACAACTCTAACATCAACATCCCGACTAGTAGATTTGTCTGTTTAAGGTTTTTTTTTTTTCTTAATGATTAATTTGCATTATTTCTAGTTACTATTTTACAGATTTTATTTAATGATTTATTACCACGCATTACACATTAAACTGCATGTTATTTATTTTTTCTCAAAATAATCAATTAATGCAAGCTTTTGTTTAAGGTCAATTTTTAAACTTATAACTTGAAACAATACATTAATGTTTCACTTTCACTTTATCATTGATGTTCCTTTTAATTATTTCCTAAATAAAGTTTTAAATTTTTATTTTGAAAAACAAAAAATTAAAAAAAAAGAATATAATAAAGTGTTGATTTTAATTAAAAATACAATTCTTTTAATTCAAAATATTATTTTTTTCATAAACAGATAAGGACACATTGATAAAGTAAATTGATAAAATTGCTTTTTTAGTTCTTTTAAAAATTTATTGAAAAATTAAAAAAAAAAAAGTTTAAACAATAGGATTCGAAACTTAGCTCTCTGCTTCAAAATGTCGGCGCGCTAACTGCTTGGCTACACAGGCATACATTCTGAGGAAATTTTAAAATTAAAAAAAACTAGCAAAACTCTAAATAAATTTAGTTTTAAAATAAAAATAAAAATAGTTATATATATAATAATGTGTAATGCATGGTAATAAATCATTAATTAAAGTCTGTATATATATATATATATATATATATATATATATATATATATATATATATATATATATATATATATATATATAGTTGAATATAGTTATACATATATATATATATATATATATATATATATATATATATATATATATATATATATATATATATATATATATATATATATATATATATATATATATATATATATGCATATGTATATATATATATGTATATATATATAATATATAGTCTGTTCCTAGAAATACCTTTAATAGACAAATCGACTAGTTGGGATGTTGATGTTAGAGTTGTTAGTTCTAATAATGATGCTGAAGAAATCGTACTTGAGAGATTTGTTAAAGTTATTGAATAGGTTGTTAAAGTATCAAATGCAGTTGTTGATGAGGGTAAAGATGTTGAAGATGTAGTTGATGTAGTTGAACATGAATTTAATACACGTTAACAATGGTTCATGGACTTGAGAGTAACACAATCTTAACAAATTGTAATTACATAACAAAATATTTGTAATTACATAATAAAATATACATTATATAATAAATATACATTACATAAGAAAGTTTCATTTGCAATCACTTTCGTTCAAGGATTTTGCATTCACTTTTGCTCACATTTTCTTATTAAAACAAGTGCTGTGACACTTTCTTGCCATTGCACCAATTCCAATGGCTGCCATGGGTTTTGTGTCAAACACACTTAAAACAGTCACAAAGGGGCACTATTAAGTTCAGCATTATTATATAGTAGATAATTTTTTACTATGCATTGCACATAAAACTACTTACGTTATTAATTTTGTTTAAAACATTATTTAATGCAGTTTTTTGTTTAATCAATCAAGTTTAACCTTTTTTTTATTCCATAAAACAAAATTTTAGTTTGTGTTTAAACGTTGTTAACATTTTTTCAAATAGTTTTTTTTTTGTCTGGTTTAAATTTTGTTTGTTTTCTATATTTATATAATATTCAAACAAAGACCTCATTTTTTCTAATTTCAAGGTTTGCCTATCATTCTATTAAATTTAGCAAATAAGAGTTTTTAATTTTTGTTTTTAATTTTTATTACTTAATGTTTGTTCTTCTAATCTTTTCTTTTAGCTTTTTTTTTTAATTTTTAAATTTTAAATTTCAGAAAAAGAATTCTGCAACTGTTTGCTGAAATTGTGTTACTATCACAAGTCCCTAAATTATTGTTTACGTGTATTAAATTCATGTTTAACTACCCCAACTACATCTTCAACAACTTTAGCTCTGTCAAAAACAACATCAGTAAAACCAACAACCCTAACATCAATAAAACCAACAACATCAACATTCAGACTAGTCCATTTGTCTATTAAAGGTGTATTTTTTTTAATAATGATTAACTTTTATTATTTATATGAAGTGTTTAACAAAATTATTTTTTTTTTTCATTACTTTTTATAAAACAGACATTTTTATGTTTTAATTTTTTTGTAAGCATTTTTTTTTTGTAATCAATCAAATAATGACTTTTTTTTTCATACAATTAAATACCGAATAATGTTGGAAATTATTCTTATCAACTTTTTAAATAAGTTTCTTGTTGGTGGAATTCATTTGTTTATAGTTTTCATGTATATTTATATAAAAATTGCATAAATAAACCATTAATGTTTCTTATCACTTTACTAAATGAAGCAAATCAGAGTTAATAATTTTTGTTTTGAATATACTTTTTTTACATTAGATAATTTTATATAAATAATTTTTTTTTTCAATGAGTTTCTATTTTTTTATTTAAGAGAAAGAGTTCTGCAACTGTTTGCTAAACTTGTGTTATTATCACATTTCTTTGAACTATTGTTTACGTGTATTAAATTCATGTTTGACTACATCAACTACATCTTCACCTACCTTACCTCCTTCAACAACTGCATCAGTAGAACCATCAACCCTAACATCAACATCCAGGATAGTTGATTTGTCTATTAAAGGTATGTTTTTTTCTTAAGGATTAATTTGCATTTTTCATTTTTTTTTTTGTTTTAAATATTCACCTCCCTAAAGCCTAGAATGCCACTACAGTCAAAGAGGCTACTTTTTTGGTTACAATCCTCTCTCAACTCCCAAACACAAACCTTAATGGGCAAGGCTGTTGTGTGTAAAAACATGTTTAGCACAGTAATGTCAAGGTTGTGGTAGGGATCAAACTATATGAAGTGTTTTACAGTATTATAATTAATGATTTATCACTTTGCATTGAACATAAAACTACATGCTGTGTGTTTTGTTCAAAAAATCAACTAATGCAGTTTTTGTTTTATCAATCAATCAAACCTTAAATTTTTTTTATTTCAGAAAAAAAAATTTAGTTTATTTTTAAGCCTTGTCAACATTTTTTCAAAATTTTATGATTTTTTATAAATTCTTTTTTTTTTTATATATTTTTGCAACATTGAAAAAAAGTTTTCATGAAGAAATCATTAGTGTCTCTTATCATTTTATTAAATTTAGCAAAAAGGAGTTTTTTTTTTGTTTTGAATTCAATTTTCAATATTTAATGTTTGTTTCTTTTCTTTCGGTTTTTTTGAGCTTCTAAATTTTTATTTAAGAAAAAAAATTCTGCAACTGTTTGTTAAAATTATGTTACTATCACACGTCCTTAAACTATTGTTTACGTGTATTAAATTCATGTTCAACTACATCAACTGCTTCTTCAACAACTTTACCTCCATCAACAACGGCATCAGTAGAACCAACAACCTTAACATCAACATATGTTTTCGGTTTGTCTATTAAAGGTATGTTTATTTTGTTAATGATTATGCATTATTTATATGAAGTATTTCAGAATTTTAATTAATTAGTTATTACTATGCATTACAATTAAAACTCTGTTATATTAATTTTTTATTAAAATGATAAAATAATTGTATTTTTTGTTTTATTTTTAAACTTTTATTTTAAAATAATAAATAAATAATAATAATGAGTGTCCCAAGTTTGATTTCATTAATTTATATCAGGCATGAATTTTGATGTTTTTTTTTTGATGGGAAATTTAATTAAGTAATCAATCAAATAATGACTTTTTTTTTCCATTCAAGAGTATTTTGATTAATGTTAGAAAGTATTCTCAACAACTTCTCAAATAATTTTTGTTGTTGTTGAAATTCATTTGTTTTGATTTTTTTGTAGTATTTATATAAAGTTAGTGTGAAGAAACCATTGATATTTCTTTTTGCTTAACTAAATAAAGCAAACCAGAGTTTCTAATTTTTGGTTTTGAATTCACTTTTTTTAACATTAGTTAATATTACATAAATATATATTTTTTTCCTATTGAGGTTTTGTTTTTTCTTATTTAAGAAAAAGAGTTCTGCAACTGTTTGCTAAACTTGTGTTATAATCACATGTCCTTGAGCTATTGTTTGCGCGTATTAAAGTCATGTTCGACTACATCAACGACATCTTCACCTACCTTACCTCAATCAACAACTGCATCAGTAGAACCATCAACCCTAACATCGACATCCAGAGTAGTTGATTTGTCTAATAAAGGTATGTTTTTTTCTTAATTACTAATTTGCATTATTCATATAAAGTGTTTTACAGTATAATAAAACTACATGTTGTTAATTTTGTTCAACAAATCAACTAAATCAGTCTTTTGTTTAATCAATCAGTCAAACCTTACATTTTTTTTTTTATTTCAGAAAAACAAGATTTAGATTATGTTTAAGCATTGTCAACAATTTTTCAAACTCTTTTTTGTTTATGTTTTGTTTGAGTTTATTTTTTATTGATATTTATGCAATATTAAAAGAACGTTTTCATTAAGAAGTTATTTTGTCTCTCATCCTTTTGTTAAACTTAGCACAAAAGAAAAATTTTTGTTTTGAATTCAATTTTCAATATTTAATGTTTGTTTCTTTTCTTTTGGTTTTTTTGAGCTTTTAAATATTTATTTAAGAAAAAGAATTCTGCATCTGTTTGTTAAAATTGTGTTACTATCACAAGTTCTTAAATTATTGTTTACGTGTATTAAATTCATGTTCAACAATGTCAACTACATCCTCAACAACTTTATCTCCGTCAATAACTGCATCAGTAGAACCAACAACCATAACACCAACATATGGACTTGTCGATTTGTCTATTAGAGGTATTTTTTTTTTTATCATGATTATCTTGCATTATTTATATGAGGTAATTTACAAAATTTTAATTATTTATTACCATGTCTTACACATTAAACTAAAAGTTATTATTTTTTACTCAAAATAGTTAATTAATGTTAGCTTTTGTTTAAGGTCTATTTTTAAACTTTTATAGTAATATATATATCTTAAGTACCAATTTTGTTTTCATTATTTCTATCAAGCATACATTTTTATTTTTTAAGTTTTATGGGCATTTTTTTAAGTAATCAGTCATAAATTAACTATTTTTTATTCCATACAATAAAATATCGAATTATGTTGAAAAGTATTTTCATTAACTTCTCAAATGATTTTCTTTTTAATTAAATTCAATTGTGTTTGATTTTCACGTATTATTTATATAAAGTTTGTGTGAAAAAACCATTGATCCTTCTTTTAACTTTTAATAAAGCAATCCAGAATTTTTAATTTTTGTTTTAAATTCACTTTTTTTACATTAGGGGCTGACCATAAAGAACATTTAGCATCTATCGGTGGGAGGGGATCTAGACATTTGTGATGATTTGTGACAAGGGGGAGATATTTTACTTTTAAAACAATATTCTAAACAAATACAATTCAAAATTATGCAATAAGATTTTTTATAAGACTTAAAGCACTCACGTGTTAAGTAGTGACAAAAATTTACTTTTAAAAAGTTCACATTTTACCATAATACAATATAAAATGAAAATTGAATATAAAAAATCGCTTTCAAGTAGTGGTTTAATTTTAACATATTATATTATAATAAATATTAAATTCATACGTTTAAACAGTTTAAACGCATTTATTTAATATTTTTTGACCACATTTAAAAATTTGTAAGCGCCAATAAATTCTTTTCATAGGATGAAATTCCAGATTTTGGATAAAAATAAAATATACCTGCATATTTTTTACGTATATGTTTTAGCATATCCTACAAAGAGCACAAAGGCTTTTTAAATAGAATGGATTCAAAAATAAAATCAAATAAGAGTTAATAAAATTTACAAATCAAAGAGAATCATTAGTTGCAAGAACTAAACGCTCTTTCCAGCAGTTGACTAAAAAGAAAGCTGACAAGAGAGGAGTAAAAAAAAGGAAGAGAGCTGAAGAAAATCAAATTCATTTCTTCATTTGAAGATAATCCAAATCTACACCATTTGAATGTCAGAGACAAGGCTGATAAGTTAAGATTTAAACAAAATCAGCTTTTGTTTGAATCTTGGCTTATCAGTAGAAGTGAGCTTTACCTTTGTTTCTTACCAAAGCACAGTTCATTTCTTGAAGGCCAGCATCATGTATCAACGGTACCTGTAAAATTAATTAGAGCTATGATGATGAACACGCTAAACATAACAACGGCTTATTTTGTACTGCTACGACAAGGCACTTAGAAGAGTTAGCGTCCATGTTAGAATCGAATGAATTGTGTTTTTTGAGTCAAGATGACAAAGCTTGTGTATGCTGGAATCTCAATTAAGTCTAATGGTTTTTGAAACCAAGAAGCAATAGCATATTCCAAACCAATATATATAGAAATCAGATTAGAAAAACACTCAAAATCAACAGCATTTAGCTATGGACATGATTTTCAAAGATTGCTTACACTCAAGGAGTTTAAAATCATTACCAAAAGTGTAAAACAAAATGACAGAGCTGTTTCAAAAACCAAGAATTTTATAAATATTTAAACTTGTACTAAATTGTTAAAATCATTTTGAGGTTCATTTTATTCAATTATTTTATTTAGAATGTGGAATAGCTGCAAGATAATAGTTACTTTATAGTAGTAATGTAAAAAAGTTTTAATTGCTATTATATTTAAATATAATTAATTACAAACAAACATTTTGAAAATATTATATATTTATGATCATAAAATGTAATTTTATAAATCACTAATGTGTAATTAAAAATAATTTAATAACAGTAATGATAAAAAATTTCCTCTATCATTGCTGACCATTGTATTTTTTCCATTAAACATATATAACAATAATTTTGAAATTTTTTTTATATTTTGTTAATTAAAAAAATTAATGCAATGTTTATCTAAAAAGAGGGATGGGGGATCATCACTTTGTGACATAATTTTCTAGGAAGAGTCTAAAGTTATGACGAGGGGTATGGAGAAGTTCAAAAATTGCAATAAATTGTGTGATGTCGTTTATGGACAGCCCCTTAATATTACATAAATATATCTTTTAAATTGGATTTCCGCTTTTCTCACTGATTGATATCAACAAGTCAAGGTCGTTAATTCTATATCAAACTCTATACGCATTGCTAGTGGAGTTCCACAGGGTAGTGTGTAGGTCCCACATTGTTTTTAATATATGTTAATGATTTAACCACTATAACTAATAATCTAAACTGTTGTGTAAAACTTTACGCAGATGATATAAAGTTATATAGTTCGTACCGTGATATGGATCTAAGCCAAGATTTAGTTGTTGCTTTAAATAAACTTTTACAATGGGCAGAAACTTGGCAACTAAAAATTGCTTGTAGTAAGTGTTTTGCACTTAGAATAGCACCTCCCTCATTATGCAAAGGTATAAAGGTTAACTATAAATTAGGTGAATATTCTTTGGCTTGGTCTTCAAACCCAAAAGATCTAGGAGTAACAATGGACTGTAACCTTAATTATAAAAAACATTTTTAACGTCGTCCATTAAGCTAACTTTAGAGCATACTTAATTTTGAAATGTTTTAAAATACGTGACCCTTGTATCCGAGTTAGAGCTTTCAATACCTATATACAACCAATTTTAGAATATTGTTCTCCAGTATGGTCGCCACACCAAATTGGATTGATTAAATCAGTTGAAAGTGTCCAACAAAAATTTACAAAAAAATAAGTTTTTGTAAACTTGTCTGTACTGATCAATCTATGCTCTTTGCGATTGTCAATAACAGCCACACCTGGGGTCATAATTATAAAATAAGCAAACAATCTTGTTGCTTAGATTTAAAAAAATATAGCTTTTCTTACCAGGTTGATGACATTTGAAACAATATGACCTCAGAGGCTGTAAATGCAAATAATATTTTAATGTTCAAAAATTAAATTAAATCTTTCGAATTTAACAGATATCTATTGCAAAAGGAACAACTATTTGTTTCTTTATAGTTTTGTTAATTTTTTTTTGTAGCAATATTTTCAAATTTCTTTGGGCACGTTGTTAGTGTCCATCTTTGTATGGGCCTTTGTGTCCTTTAGAACATGTATTTATACTTTGTTCTAATAAATATCAATCAATCAATATATATTTTTTTATTTTGAATTTTTAAATTTTTATTTAAGAAAAAAAATTCTGCAACTGTTTGTTAAAATTGTGTTACTATCACACGTCCTTAAACTATTGTTTACGTGTATTAAATTCATGTTCAACTACATCAACTGCTTCTTCAACAACCTTACCTCCATCAACAACGGTATCAGTAGAACCAACAACCCTAACATCAACATACGTTGTTGATTTGTCTATTAAAGGTATGTTTATTTTGTTAATGATTATCTTGGATTGTTTATATGAACTATTTCAGAATTTTAATTAATTATTTATTACTTTGCATTACAATTAAAACTCTATATTATTAATTTTTTCTTAAAATAATAAAATAATAGTATCTTTTGTTTAAGGTCTATTTTTAAACTTATATCTTAAAATAATAAAATAGTACCAATTTTGTTAGCATGAATTTTTATGTTTTATTTTTGATGGGAAATTTAATTAAGTAATCAATCTAATAATTTTTTTTTTTTCCATTCAAGAATATCTTAATTAATGTTGGAAAGTGTTCTCAATAACTTCTCAAATAATTTTTGTTGTTGTTGGAATTCATTTGTTTTTGATTTTTATGTAGTATTTATATAAAGTTTGTGTGAAGAAACCATTGATATTTCTTATCACTTTACTAAATAAAGCAAACCCGAGTTTTTATATATATATATATATATATATATATATATATATATATATACGGATATATATATATATATATATACGTATAAATATATATATATATATATATATATATATATATATACGTATATATATATATATATATATATATATATATATATATATATATATATATATATATATATATATATATAATACATGTGTATTTATACATTTATATATATATATATATATATATATATAAAAACATGTATATATATACATATACATTTATTTATATATATTTATATATATGTATATATATATATATATATATATATATATATATATATATATATATATATATATATATATATATATTTGCTATTGAGCTTTTGTTTTTCCTATTTAAGAAAAAGAGTTCTGCAACTGTTTGCTAAACTTGTGTCATTATCACATGTCTTTGAACTATTGTTTACGCGTATTAAAGTCATGTTCGACTACAACAACTGCATCTTCACCTACCTTACCTCAATCAACAACTGCATCAGTAGAACCATCAACCCTAACATCGACATCCAGAGTAGTTGATTTGTCTAATAAAGGTATGTTTTTTTCTTATTTACTAATTTGCGTTATTCATATGAAGTGTTTTACAGTATAATAATTAATGATTTATCAATTTGCATTGAACATAAAACTACATGTTGTTAATTTTGTTCAGAAAATCAACTAAATCAGTCTTATGTTTAATTAATCAGTCAAACCTTACATTTTTTTTATTTTAGAAAAAAAAAATTATTTTATTTTTAAGGCTTGTCAAAAATTTTTCAAATTTTTGTTTTGTTTTGTTTGAATTCATTTTTTATTGATATTTATGCAATATTGAAAGAAAGTTTTCATGAAGAAGTCATTGTCTCTTATCATTCTACTAAATTTAGCAAATTTTTGTTTCCTAAACTTAGTAGAATGATAAAAGACAATTTTTTTTGTTTTGAATTCAATTTTCAATATTTAATGTTTGTTTCTTTTCTTTCGGGTTTTTTGAGCTTTTAAATATTTATTTAAGAAAAAGAATTCTGCATCTGTTTGTTAAAATTGTGTTACTATCACACGTCCTTAAATTATTGTTTACGTGTATTAAATTCATGTTCAACTATGTCAATTACATCCTCAACAACTTTACCTCCATCAACCGTTGCATCAGTAGAACCAACAACCATAACATCAACATATGGGCTTGTCGATTTGTCTGTTAAAGGTATGTTTTTTTTGTCTTGATTATCTTGCATTATTTATATGAGGTAATTTACAAAATTTTAATTAATTCTCTATTACCGCGTCTTACACATTAAACTAAAAGTTATTTTTTTTTACTTAAAATAGTTAATTAATGTTAGCTTTTGTTTAAGGTCTATTTTTAAACTTATATCTTATAGTAATGTATATATATATATATTATATATATATATATATATATATATATATATATATATATATATATATATATATATATATATATATATATATATGTATATTTACATGTGTATATATATATATATATATATATATATATATATATATATATATATATATATATATATATATATATATATATATATATCGTAAGTACCAATTTTGTTTTCATTATCTTTATCAAGCATATATTTTTATGTTTGAAGTTTTATGGGCATGTTTTTAAGTAATCAGTCATGAAATAACTATTTTTTTATATTGCATTATGTTGGAAAGTATTTTCATCAACTTCTTAAATGGTTTTTCTTTTTATTTAAATTCAATTGTTTTTGATTTATATGTAGTGTTTATATAAAGTTTTTTTTTTTCTCAAAATATTTAACTAATGCTTTCTTTTATTTATTATATTTTTTCAAAATTTTAAATAATAATACAGTAATGGTTTAGGTTTAATCACTGTTCATTTATTACAAAGATATTTATGAACCATCTTTTGTTATAAGGTAGTTTAAATCGTTATTGTTTTTGCCATTCTGTATTATTCTACATTGTGTGTATTTTAATTTTATCAACCTTTCATTACACCAATAATGCACTAGATTATTGTTTTTTTAAAGAGTGTATTAATTATTTGAGCAAAAATTTTGGATCATTTGCATATAATTTACTTTGTTTCTGTAGTAATTTTTTAAAATTAATAATAATATTTATAAATTAGAGTTCTAAAACACTGCATTTTGTTGCACCACAAGTCACAAATCCCCATAAAATTATATCTTGACCCTTAACCACTCTTTCTTGTTACTCGAAAAGTTTTCAATCTATTTTTAGTAAGTTTCTGCAAACCATACACTCCAAGTTTCCTTAGAAGTCTTTTATAGAGAACAACATCAAAAACAATAGATGACATTTTCCTAAATTTCCTATTTTTTATTTTATTAAAGTTTCCAAAATTTTGGAAGTTTGCAACATGTTGGTCTGTAGTTTTCTGTATGTAATCTACTACCCTTTTTTTAAACAGGGGTATTATTTTTTCTTTTCCATATATTTATCTATTCCACTAAGTATTGTCAAAAAACTCCAGGCTCTAGTTTTCATTATATTTTTTGTTTTTTATATGTACTTGTAAATCAGTAAAAAACGATTATATATTCCAGTATATATTACATACGATTATATATATGATTATATAAACTGAATATAGCAGTAAATATCAATAAAATTGTTAAAAATAAAAAAAAATAATTGAAACTCATATAAAATTTTATTTTAAATTCTTTGTTTAAATTGTGATGTTGGTTTTGGACAAATATTGAAATGCTTCTTTGAGTTCATCTTTAAGTGAAAGTGGATTTTTGTCAAGATTTTCTGTGCCATGCACTTCTTAAATGAATTCTTAGTCATCTGGATTTTTTGAAAAAAGCCTAGACAGCAAGTGTTTGACACAAATACAAGACAGCAGTCTTTCTAAGTATAGACTTCAAGGGTATTTTGAAAACTTTATGTTGGAAAGGTATCTGTACAAGATTGCTAGATTTCTCTGCCATTCAAAACATTTAAAAATTGCACTCTTCATTACAATGCAAGTAGAGTCTCATTGTTTCAGTCTGTTCACAAGATTCAGTCTGTTCACTTGAAAATCCTACCAGTAGTTAAAAGAGTTGTATCCTATTGGCAAAAGGCTTTTGCTGCCAATATGACTGGTTCAACAGCAGCCACAACATTGCATAAAGTATTTACTTTATTGTTGTTGCAAATCAAATTTGGAGAATCATCAATTAATGCTTGTTGCTTGCAATAACCTATTATTGATTTCTCTGGAAGGTTTCTCGTGATTATTAAATTTATGTGATTATTAAATTTATTGACAATGTTGTTTTAAAACATTTAAAACATTTTATTTTAAAGCATTTTACAGCATAATAATCCTTTCTTTGAGATTAATAATTTACTATCTTCGTTTTTTAAATTGTTAGTGAGGCTAACAAGTAAATAGGTAAAAGAGTTCTGATTTATGAAAGTAAAACAAATAAAATTATGAATGATATGAACGTTTCTGACAGTGATAAAAAAATCATAACAAAATTTTATAAGAATAAGAAAAATAAATCTCTATAATGTATAACTAAAAATATTAGCTTCTTTTAACAGCAAAAGAAAAAATTTTTTAAAGAAAAATTAAATTAATATCATAATTAAGAATTTCAAATAAAAATGAATTGTTTATCTTATTGTAAAGTATACTAACCACTATTTATTGCAAATTACCAACATAATTTTTACCAGTATACTCTATTTCCTATCACTCTATTTTCTATCACTCTCGTAAATTTTTTTGAGCCAATCAGTTCATTAAATAAATTTTTAAAATTTGATATATTTCATAAAATAAATTTTTCAGTTTTTTTTAAGATTATTTCTAACAATTTCCCTAATGTTTTTTTTTTTGTTCAAGTTAATTTATTTTTGATTTTCGTGTAATATTGATGCCAAGTTTGATGAAAAGAAACCAATGATGTTTCTTATCTCTCATAAATCTAGCAAAATAGATTTTTCAATTTTTAATTTGATTTCAATTTTATATATATAATATATTTTTTCTAATTTTTTAAATTTATCTTTTAACTTTTTATTTAAGAAAAAGAGTTTTGCAACTGTTTGTTAAACTTGTGTTATTATTACAAGTCCTTGAGTTATTGTTTACGTGTATTCAACTCATGTTCAACTACATCAACTACATCTTCATCAACTTTACCTTCATCAACAACTGCATTTGTTACTTCAACAACTCCATCAAGTCTATCAAGCACGGTTTTTTCAACATCATCAGTAGAAGTATCAAAGCTGACTCCAACATCTGGACTAGTTGATTTGTCTACTAAAGGTATTTATTTTTTTTTAAGAATAACTTGCATTACTTATGTAAAGTATTTTACCAAATCTTAATAATTTGCTACAATGCATTGTAAATAAAACTTCATTCTAAGAATCTTTCTTCAAAATAATAAATTAATGCTATTTTTTGTTTTATTTTTAAACTAATAATTTTTGATACTAACAATTTTGTTTTCGTTACTTTTTATCAAAAAATACTTTTAATGTTCTACATTTTAGGGACATTTTTTCGACCCAGTTTATCAATCAAATATAAGCTTTTTATTTTTTAAAAGAAATTTTTTGCTTATTGTTTAAAATACTTTTCAACAACTTTCTAAAGGTTTCTTTTGTTTAAATTCATTTGTTGTTGATTTTTGTGTAATATTGACACCAAGTTTGCTTAAAGTAACCATTGATGTTTCTTATCACTCATAAATTAAACAAATCAGAATTTTTAATTTTTGATTTGAATTTAATTTTATTTATATATTATTTTTTTTTTAATCTTTTGATTTTTTATTTAAGAAAAAGAGTTCTGCAACTGTTTGTTAAACTTGTGTTATTATCACAAGTCCTTGAGCTATTGTTTACATGTATTCAAATCATGTTCAACTACATTGATGACACCTTCACCTACCTTACCTCCATCAACAACTGCATCAGTAGAACCGACAACCCTATTCAACTCATGTTTAACTACGTCAACAGCATCTTCATCAACTTTACCTTCATCAAAAACTGCATTTGTTACTTCAACAATGTATTCAATAACTCCATCAATTTTATCAGGTGTGATTACTCCAACATCATCAGTAGAACAAACTACCCTGACATCAGCATCAGTATTAGTTGATTTGTCTACTAAAGGTTTTTTTTTTTAAATGATTAACTTGTGTTATTTTTATGATGTATTTTACAGACATGCAGTTAATTATTTATTACTATGCATTGCACATAAATATACCTCCTAATATTTACATTTTTTAAATAATTTTTTTTCAGCTATTTTTTGCTTAATTTATTTTTTTATATATTTTGTTAAAAGATACTGTTTTTGTTTTCAACATTTTATATCAAGCAACATTTTTGTTGTTTCAAGTTATGGTCATTTTTTTTAAGCAAGCAATCAGTTAAAAGCCTATTATTTTTATTTCATGAAATATTAGTTTTGTTTTTATGTTTTAAAGTATTGTTAACATATTCTAAAATTTGTTGTTGTTCAAATTCTTTTTTTTTTTGTAATATTGAAACAAAGTTTGCATAAATTAACTTTTGATCTTTTCTTATACTTTAGTAAATATAGCAACTTAAGTTTTTAATTTTTGATTTGAATTTTTTATTTTGAATTTTTGTAAAAGTATGATTGCTCATTTATTTATTTTATTTTTTTTTTTTTTTTTTTGAGCTTTTAAATATTTTATTTAAGAAAAAGAGTTCTGCAACTGTTTGTTAAAATTGTGTAATTATCACAAGTCGTTGAACTATTGTATACGTGTATTAAAGTCATGTTCAACTACATCCACAACTTCACCAACTTTACCTCCATCTACAACTGTATATGTTACAACGTATTCAATAACTTCAACTAATTTCTTAAGTACAACAGCTTTAATGTCATCAGTAGAACCAGCAACCCTGATCTCAACATTCGGAGTCGTTGATTTGTCTACTAAAGGTATGTTTTTTTCTTAAATGATTATTTTGCATTATTTATGTAATGTATTTTACAGAATTTTATTTTATGATTTATTACTATGCATTACACATAAAACTTATTTGAATAATTTTTATTCAAAAATAATAATTATTGTTATAATTTGTTTAATTATGGCTATCATTTGTTTTATTATTTAAGGTTTAAGTTTACTATCTGAGTACCCCAAAAATATTAATAATTGTAGTAAATAGGGCATCTGGACTCTTCATTTTCATATTTAGAAAAATCTGGGAGGTATCATATTTTTAGAAAATCGACATTGCAAATCTGCTACAAAGACTTTTTTTTTCGTATTTTTACTTTCGTAAGCTAAATATACTGACAGAATAAAGTAAAGTTAACATAAAATAATTTTGATTTTTTATGATTTTTTAATTTTGTATTTACATATTAACATCACTAGACTGCTTTAATTTGGCAAAAAAAAGTGTAGATACGCTTGAAATTAATTTAGAAACATAGTAAATTACTTAATACCATTAATATGTTCTACTTTACCTCATAAAGTAGAACATATTAATGGTATTAAGTAATTTAATAGAATAGTCGTATTATATGCATAGTTGCTTAATAATCTAATATATAAATGATAATAATATAATAAATACTAAATAAAATATTTTAAAATTGTTTATACTAATATAATTTTAATGTCTTTTTGAATAAATTTTATTATTTTTTTTAACTTAAGATTTCAGTAATATTTTGATGTACAATTGATGTATTTTGAATAATTTATAAACTATTTGAACTGAACACTTCACCAATTCTTTTTCTTTTTTTCTTATGTTTGTTGCTGTACTGCGAAACTTCAAACCTGTTTATTACACTTTTCATCTTTGAATGACAAGATTCAGATGTCTGCTCATTAAACTGCCCTAGTAAAAGGCCACTCAAATAAACAAATGTTTCCAGATGTGTGCTTACAACATGTACTTTCTAGGTAACCAGGAGCTGTTTATCTAAAAACTAAAAAAAATTTACTATAAATATATTATCAATAACTTGGTTTCAAATACAAAGGTTAAAGAATACAGTGATTACCTCTCTGCATCAGTCATGCTCATCTTTATAATTTTTGTGAAGCTTTCAATTCAAATTGAATAGTTTGGGTCAAGTTTATAGCCAAAGACACCATGAACAACCTTATTAAACTTTCTTATTATTTCCAAGAGAGGATACTTTTTAAACAGCATTATCAGCTCAAGTTTATTGCAACTTTTTAGTATCTCTCTACACGTGTCTCCTTCAAATAATTCCCCGAGCCTTTTCAAAGGCATCCAATGCTCTTGACCAAATATATAAATCCAGATCAAAGCTGCATTATAAATTCTGCTACATGGTTAACGAATCCCATCAGATGGTGAAGTTCTGGTAATGGAACTTCTCTTATTATACTTAGATTTGATTTTATTATATTTATTTTGCTTTTATTTTATTATACTTTGATTGATTTTTGGACTTGTCTTCTATTTTGAGCAGACAAGGGTTAATGACATATCAATTATATGGAAATAATAATTTTTTATCCTTTTAAAAATGATAAATTTGTCATGAATGATAAATTTTGAAAATATTTGCAATATACTTATTTATACTTACATTCTTTCATTTTTTTCACAGTCATTCCTGCCGATGAATACAGTTCATAGTAATCATTCAAAGATTGAAATGTTTCTAACTCTCCAGAAAATAGTTCATAAGAACCTTCACACTGTGCACAGCTATACTTTCCTCCAAGAGCCTACAACTTTGTATAATAATTCAATTTATAAATATATTGTTAAGTAAAAAAAAAAATTTTCCTAATATAGGGTTTACCTCATAGGTAAATACTATATTAGGAAAGGTTTAATTATCTTAAAATTATTCAAAAACAACATACCAAAATTGTTGCAATCATGTTCATGTCATGTCAGAAAGCCAATGAGTACTTGCAATCATGCAACTTCAATCTTTCCACTGTATCATAAGGTATTATACATTATTGTTCATTTACATGGTTATTTTTTACGTTATTTAACATTGTTATTTTAAGAAAATGTATCATAACTATTTTTATTTAACAATATTTTATCTTTTCTGAGAATGGCTTGAGCTCTTAGACTTTACTCTAAATCAGAAGAGAGACTTTACTCTAAAGAGAGACTTTACTCTAAATCAGAAGAGAGACTTTACTCTAAAGAGAGACTTTACTCTAAATCAGAATAAATTCTTTAAGAAGGGAAGAAGCTATTTTTTTCTTCAATTTTTTGGAAATTTTAGAAATACTTGCAGAAAGATTTGTGCTAGCCTTAAAAGGTAAACATTTGTGGGATTTACCTTGAGCAATTTCACAGGAGCATATTTAGCTTTAAGTTTCAGTGTTAAGCTAGTTCCCTTTTTGATACTTTTATTTAGTAATCTATTTCTTCCTTGACTGCATATACTGCATAATATTGAGCAATCTCTAAAGGTTTGCAATCTAAATAAATCAGTATTTTTCCATTTTAAAGTAACTGTGCCTGCAATAGTTTTACCAGTCTTACAGAGATATATGCTTTTCTTACAACCTATGCATAATCTTTTTGGCGAGGCATTTTACTTTCAGTAAAAACTCAGGCATAAAAAAAACTTGAACAAGACCTTTCAAATTTTTATTAACTAAAACGCATTTGTTGCTCTTTTCAAGCCAGCAATAGCAAATGATCTTTTAAAAAAGTACAGGATCTCTTTTAAAATGATATTCTCTATGCTTCTTTGAGAGCAGAGAAGCCATAGATTATAAGGTATCTATAATAATATATGGGTATTTAATATTACAATATAGGTATATGTATCTACAATCAAAAATTAGTCAAAAATGAATATTTTTATTATAAAATGTTTTTTTGACCAACTTTGAGTATTCTATTGATATTTTTGTATGAATATTAGATTAAAGACCTTGACAAGTTGGTACATAAATATTTTTTTAAATAAACTTTATCTTTCTATAAGTATATTTAGTTTTTTTAAATACAAAAAAATGAATTCTTAGCAGACTTCTAATGTCAATTTTCTAAAAATGCGATTTTTAGAAAATTGACATTAGAAGTCTGCTAAGAAGTCATTTTTTTGTCCCAGATTTTTCTAAATATAAAAATGCCCCACCTACCATAATTTTTTTTTTTTGAAAACTATCTGTAAACATTTTACTGCCATAATGAGAATTACTTTTATTCAATTTAATAATTTTTATATAAATCTTTTGTTTAAGATATGTTTTAATACTATCATTTTAGCCACAGTGTTACCAACATTTGCTTTACCTTCAAAAACACTCTCAACGATCACAACTTCTTCAAAATATACTGATGTTTTAACTATGGCAACAATGATGCCAATTCTACCATTAACAACTGATACTTTATCTGCACTAATTGAGCCTTCATCAATTATAACTTCAATGCAACTATATAAATCTTCAGCTATGTTTATTACTGCTTCATTGAAACCAAGTAAATTTACATCGTTCTCCTATGAAATTTCAATATTTACATCTGATCCATCAGTTATAAAAACTATGATGGAGACTCCTACAATAAGGATTCTTCCAACTAGTATTTCAGTAATAAATAATGTTTCATTAACAACATCACCTAAATACCCATTGGAAGTTTCAACAATGGCAAGTTCAGTGCAAATTTCTACAACATCAACTTTTTTAACAACATTTTCAAACAGTATTGAGATTTTATCAATTGTAACTTCAACACAACTATTTGATTCTTCAACTATGTTTATTACTGCTTCATTGACACCAAGTGAACTTTCATCATTCTCATATGAGTTTTTAATATTTACATCTGATTTGTCAATTACAGAAACTATGATAGAAAATCCTATAACAAGGCTTGTCTCAACTAGTATTTCAGCAACAACTGAACTTGCATTAACAACATCACCTAAATACCCATTGCCTTCATTTGAAACTTCAACAAAAACAATGGAAGTTTCAATAAAGTCAAGTTCAGTGCAGTTTTCTGCAACACCAACTTTTTCAACAGCAGTTTCAAACAGTACTGAGACTTCAACAATTGTAACTCCAACACAACTATTTGATTCTTCAACTATGTTTGTTACTGTTTCATTGACACCAAGTGAACTTTCATCATTCTCATATGAGTTCTCAATGTTTACATCTGATCCATCAGTTACCAAAACTATGATAAAAACTCCTATAATAACACGTGTCCCAACTAGTGTTTTGGAATCAACTAAAGTTGCATTAATAACATCACCTAGATACAGATTGACTTCATTTGAATCTTCAACAAAAACAATTGAAGTTTCAACAATGGCAAGTTCAGTGCCACCTACTACAACATCAAGTTTTTCAATTGTAGTTTCAAACAGTGCTGAGACTTCATCAATTGTAACTCCAACACAACTATTTGATTCTTTAACTATGTTTATTACTGCTTCATTGACAAGAAGTGAACTTTCATTGTTCTCATATGAGTTTTCAATATTTACATCTGATTTGTCAATTACAAAAAATATGATGGAGACTCCTTCAACAAAGCTTGTCCCAACTAATATTTTAGTAACAACTGAACTTGCATTAACAACATCACCTAAGTACCCATTGACTTTATTTGAAGCTTCAACAAAAACAACTGAAGTTTCAACAGTTGCAAGTTTACTGCAAATACTTACAACATCAACTTTTTCAACAGTAAATTCAAACAGTTTTGAGACTGTATCAATTGTAACTCCAACACGACTATATGATTCTTCAGCTCTATATGTTACTGCTTTATTGAAACCAAGTGAACTTTCATCATTCTCATATGAGTTTTTAATAAAAACATCTGATTCATCAATTACAGAAATTATGATGGAAATTTCTACAACAAAGCTTATCCCAGCTAGTATTTCAGTAACAACTGAGGTTATATTAACAACATCACCTAATTACCCATTGACTTCATTTGAAACTTCAGCAAATACAACTGAAGTTTTAATAGGTGCAAGTATTGTCGAAATATCGACAACATCTACTTTTTCAACTGTAGTTTCAAACAGTTTTGATATTTCATCATTTGTAACTCTGACAAAACTGTTTGATTCTTCAACTATGACAGCAAGTGAACTTTCATTATTGACAGTAAGAGAATTTTCATCATTCTCATATGAGTTTTCAATAAAAACATCTGATTCATCAATTATAAAAACTATGATGGAAACTTCTGCAACAAAGCTTGTCCCCACTAGTATTTCAGTAACAACTGAGGTTATATTAACAACATCACCTAGGTACCCATTGAGTTCATTTGAAACTTCAATAAAAACAACTGAGGTTTCATTATGGGCAAGTTCAGTGCCGATTTCTACAACATCAACCTTTTCAACAGTAGTTTCAAATAGTTTTGAGATTTCATCAATTGTAACTCCAATAAAACTTTATGATTCTTCAACTATTTTTATTACTGCTTCATTGACACCAAGTGAACTGTCATCCTTCTCATATGAGTTTTCAATATTTACATCTGATCCATCAGTTACCAACACTATGATAGAAACTCCTACAATAACACTTTACCCAACTAATATTTCAGTAACAAATAATGTTTTATTAATAACATCACCTAAATACCCATTGACTTCATTTGAAACTTTAACAAAAAAAAATGAAGTTTCAACAGTTACGAGTTTACTGCAAATATTTACAACATCAACTTTGTCAACAGTTATTTCAAACAGTTTTGAGACTGTATCAATTGTAACTCCAACACAACTATATGATTCTTCAGCTATGTTTGTTACTGCTTCATTAAAACAAACATCATTCTCATATGAGTTTTCAATAAAAACATCTGATTCATCAATTACCGAAATTATGATGGAAACTTCTACAACAAAGTTTGTCCCAACTAGTATTTCATTAACTACTGAGGTTATATTAGCAATATCACCTAAATACCCATTGACTTCATTTGACACTTCAACAAATACGACTAAAGTTTTAACTGTTGCAAGTTTAGTGCAAATATCAACAACATCAACTTTTTCAACAGTAGTTGCAAACATTTTTGATATTTCATCAAGTGTAACTCCATCAAAACTATTTGATTCTTCAACTATGTTTATTACTGCTTTATTGACAGCAAGTGAACTTTCATTATTCTCAAATGAGTTTTCAATAATAACATCTGATTCATCAATTACAAAAACTATGATGGAAACTTCTGCAACAAAGCTTGTCCCAACAAGTATTTCAGTAACAACTGAGGTTATATTAACAAAATCACCTAAGTACCCATTGATTTCATTTGAAACTTCAATAAAAACAACTGAGGTTTCATTATGGGCAAGTTCAGTGCCGATTTCTACAACATCAACTTTTTCAACAGTAGTTTCAAACAGTTTTGAGATTTCATCAATTGTTACTTCAACACATTTTTATGATTCTTCAACTATGTTTATTACTGCCTCATTGACACCTAGTGAACTTTCATCATTCTCATATGAGTTTTCAATATTTACATCTGATCCATCAGTTTTAAAAACTATGATGGAAACTCCTACAACAACACTTGTCCCAACTAGTATATTAGTAACAAATAATATTTCATTAACAACATCACCTAAATACCCATTGACTTTATTTGAAACTTCAACAAAAACAGAAGTTTCAACAATGGAAAGTTCCATGCAAATTTCTACATCGTCAACTTTTTCAACAGTAGTTTCAAACAGTACTGAGACTTCATCAATTGTAACTCCAACACAACTATTTGATTCTTCAACTATGTTTATTACTGCTTCATTGACTCCAAGTGAACTTTCATCATTCTCATATGAGTATTCAATATTTACATCTGATCCATCAGATACCAATACTATGATGGAAACTACTACAGTAACACTTGTCTCAACTAGTGTTTCAGAATCAACTAAAGTTGCATTAATAACATCACTTAGATACCGATTGACTTCTTTTGAATCTTTAACAATAATAACTGAAGTTTCAACAATGGCAAATTCAGTGCTAACTACTACAACACCAACATTTTCAACAGTAGTTTCAATCAGTATTGAGACTTCATCAATTGTAACTCCAACACAACTATTTGATTCTTCAACTATGTTTATTACTGCTTCATTGACAAGAAGTGAACTTTCATTGTTCTCATATGAGTATTCAATATTTAGATCTGATCCATTAGTTACAGAAACTATGATGGAAACTTTTACAACAACGCTTGTTGCAACTAGTATATCAGTAACAACTGAAGTTGTATTAACAACATCACCTAAATACCCATTGACTTCATTTGAAACTTCAACAAAAACAATGCAAATTTCAACAATAACAAGTTCAGTGCAAATTTCAACAACATCAACTTTTTCAATTCTAGTTTCAAACAGTACTAAGACTTCATTAATTGTAACTCCATCACAACTACATGATTCTTCAACCATGTTTATTACTGCTTCATTGACACAAAGTGACATTTCATCATTCTCATCTGAGTTTTCAATAAAAATATCTGATTCATCAATTACAGAAGATTTGATGGAAACTCCTTCAACAAAGCTTGTCCTAACTAGTACTTCAGTATTAACTGAAGTTGTATTAATAACATTACCTAAATACCCATTGACTTCATTTGAAATTTCACCAAAAACACACGAAGTCTCAGCAGTGCCAAGTTCAGTGCAAATTTCTACAACATCAACTTTTTTAACAGCAGTTTCAAACAGTACTGAAACTTCTTCAATTGTAACTCCAACACAACTATTTGATTCTTCAACTATGTTTATTACTGCTTCATTGACACCAAGTGAACTTTCATTATTCTCATATGAGTATTCAATATTTACATCTGATCCATCAGTTACCAAAATTATGATGGAAACTCCTACAATAACGCTTGTCCCAAATAGTGTTTCAGGATCAACTGAAGTTGCATTAATAACATCACCTAGATACCGATTGACTTCTTTTGAATCTTCAATAATAATAACTGAAGTTTCAACAATGGCAAATTCAGTGCTAACTACTGCAACACCAACATTTTCAACAGTAGTTTCAATCAGTATTGAGACTTCATCATTTGTAACTCCAACACAACTATTTGATTCTTCAACTATGTTTATTACTGCTTCATTGACACCAAGTGAACTTTCGTCATTCTCATATGAGTATTTATTATTAATATCTGATCCATCAGTTACCAATACTATGATGGAAACTCCTACAGTAAGACTTGTCTCAACTAGTGTTTCAGAATCAACTGAAGTTGCATTAATAACATCACTTAGATACCGATTGACTTCTTTTGAATCTTCAACAATAACAACTGAAGTTTCAACAGTGGCAAGTTCAGTGCAAATTTCTGCAACATCAATTTTTTCAAAAGTAGTTTTAAACAGTACTGAGACTTCATCAATTGTAACTCCAGCACAACTATTTGATTCTTCAACTATGTTTATTACTGCTTCATTGACACCAAGTAAACTTTCGTCATTCTCATATGAGTATTTATTATTAATATCTGATCCATCAGTTACCAATACTATGATGGAAACTCCTACAGTAAGACTTGTTTCAACTAGTGTTCCAGAATCAACTGAAGTTGCATTAATAACATCACTTAGATACCGATTGACTTCTTTTGAATCTTCAACAGTAAGAACGCAAGTTTCAACAGTGGTAAGTTCAGTTCAAATTTCTGCAACATCAATTTTTTCAAAAGTAGTTTCAAACAGTACTGAGACTTCATCAATTGTAACTCCAGCACAACTATTTGATTCTTCAACTATGTTTATTACTGCTTCATTGACACCAAGTGAAATTTCGTCATTCTCATATGAGTATTCATTATTTATATCTGATCCATCAGTTACCAATACTATGATGGAAACTCCTACAGTAAGACTTGTCTCAACTAGTGTTTCAGAATCAACTGAAGTTGCATTATTAACATCACCTAGATACCGATTGACTTCTATTGAATCTGCAACAAAATCAACTGAAGTTTCAACAGTGGCAAGTTCAGTGCAAATTTCTGCAACATCAATTTTTTCAAAAGTAGTTTTAAACAGTACTGAGACTTCATCAATTGTAACTCCAGCACAATTATTTGATTCTTCAACTATCTTAATTACTGCTTCATTGACACAAAGTGACATTTCATCATTCTCATCTGAGGTTTCAATAAAAATATCTGATTCATCAATTACAGAAGATTTGATGGAAACTCCTTCAACAAAGCTTGTCCTACCTAGTACTTTAGTATTAACTGAAGTTGTATTAATAACATCACTTAGATACCAATTGACTTCTTTTGAATCTTCAACAGTAAGAACGGAAGTTTCAACAGTGGCAAGTTCAGTGCAAATTTCTGCAACATCAATTTTTTCAAAAGTAGTTTCAAACAGTACTGAGACTTCATCAATTGTAACTCCAGCACAACTATTTGATTCTTCAACTATGTTTATTACTGCTTCATTGACACCAAGTGAAATTTCGTCATTCTCATATGAGTATTCATTATTTATATCTGATCCATCAGTTATCAATACTATGATGGAAACTCCTACAGTAAGACTTGTCTCAACTAGTGTTTCAGAATCAACTGAAGTTGCATTATTAACATCACCTAGATACCGATTGACTTCTATTAAATCTGCAACAATAACAACTGAAGTTTCAACAGTGGCAAGTTCAGTGCAAATTTCTGCAACATCAATTTTTTCAAAAGTAATTTCAAACAACACTGAAACTTCATCAATTTTTACTCCAATTCAACTACATGATTCTTCAATCATGTTTATCGGCGCTTCATTAACACGAAGTGGTCTTTTATCATTCTTAGATGAGTTTCCAATAAAAACATCTGATTCATCAAATACAGAAACTATGATGGATACTCCTACAACATTGCTTGTCCTAACTAGTACTTCAGTAATAACTGAAGTAGCATCAACAACTTCACCTAAATACCCATCGACTTTATTTGAAACTTCAACAAAATCAACTGAAGTTTCAACAGTGGCAAGTTCAGTGCAAATTTCTGCAACATCAATTTTTTCAAAAGTAGTTTTAAACAGTACTGAGACTTCATCAATTGTAACTCCAACACAACTATTTGATTCTTCAACTATGTTTATTACTGCTTCATTGACTCCAAGTGAACTTTCATCATTCTCATATGAGTATTCAATATTTATATTTGATCCATCAGCTACCAATACTATGATGGAAACTCCTACAGTAAGACTTGTCTCAACTAGTGTTACAGAATCAACTGAAGTTGCATTAATAACATCACCTAGATACCGATTGACTTCTATTGAATCATCAACAATAACAACTGATGTTTCAACAGTGGCAAATTCAGTGCAATTTTCTGCAAAATCAATTTTTTCAAAAGTAGTTTCAAACAGTACTGAAACTTTATCAATTTTTACTCCAATTCAACTACATGATTCTTCAACCATGTTTATTGGCCCTTCATTAACACGTAGTGGTCTTTCATCATTCTTAGATGAGTTTCCAATAAAAACATCTGATTCATCAAATACGGAAACTATGATGGATACTCCTACAAAATTGCTTGTCCTAACTAGTACTTCAGTAATAACTGAAGTTGCATTAACAACATCACCTAAATACCCATCGACTTTATTTGAAACTGTAACAAAATCAAATGAAGTTTCAACATTGGCAAGTTCAGTGCAAATTTCTGCAATATCAACTTTTTCAACAGTAGTTTCAAACAGTAATGAGACTTCATCAATTGTAACTCCAACACAACTGCATGATTCTTCAACTATATTTATTACTGCTTCATTGACACCAAGTGAAATTTCGACATTCTCTCATGAGTTTTCAATATTTACATCTGCTCCAATAACTAACAAAACTGACGCTCTTGTATTAGTAACTTCAACTTTAGCAACTGAATATTCATCAACGACATATGAAACTGAAACTGAAGTATTGACAGACTCTTTTAAAGTATTGCACACATTTCCAGTTACACTAATATCTACTAATGTTGCTATAATTACCACAACTGCGGCATTGTCAGCAACAACTATACCTTTAACATTAAGTTCTTCAACTATTTTAACTACTGCTTCTGCTACAACATCAAATGAATTTTTGTTTACTTCACTTCAAGCTTCAACATCAGCTGAATCAGAATTAACAACATTAATTACAGCTTCAACTGTGTTTACAACAACTGTTGCGACAACAACAAATGTCTCAAGAATAAGTATTTTTGTTTATTAGGTTTTTATATTTTTTTTCTCATTGATAAAAAAAATATTTAAAGTGATTATTTTTTTAAATGTTTTATAAAAATTTATTTTCACAGTTTTTTATTTTTTAGCTCTTATTTTTTAGTTTCTTCTACATCTTTTGAAATAGTTATTCCTGCTTATCTAACAAATAATAAGGAAATTAAGTAAGTTCAATATTTCTTTTCATTTTAACATTAAATTTTTCTTTCAACTAAATCATATACTGATTCAATTTTTTTTTTAATTATTTCACCATAAAATATTAAGTTTACAATGATAATTGATAAATATAATTAGGAATAAGTCGTATAGTTAAAATAGATTGGTACTTAAAAAAAACAAAATAATAAATAAGACATAAAGAGATTTTTTTTTAAAAAAAAAGGTAGAAAAAAAAATAAAGCACTAATAAATAACGACAATATTAAAAAATAACAATAATAATAACAAAAATAATATGTATAATAATAATTTACTGTATTTTACTGTTATTTGTTTAAAAAGTTTAGTTATTTCTTATTTAAAATTATTATTTTTAAATTATTATTTTAAAAATATTTATTGCTATTTTTATTATTATTATTATTGCTATTATTATTGTTATTATTATTATTATTATTATTATTATTATTGCTATTATTATTATTATTATTATTGCTATTATTATTATTATTATTATTATTAATTATAAGTTATAAAAAAATAGTAATAGTAAAAAAACAGTTTAACTAATTAATGCTTAAAAGCTTTAAACTTAATTTATGTTACCAACTTTATAAAAAGTTTTTTTTCAATTTCAAATTAAATATTTAAAAATGTATAGTTTATAACTGTTTCAAGATGATTAAAAAAAAATTTTAGATTATAAAAAGAGATTTTGAACCAACTCAAAATAAGTTATTTATTTCTGTGTGTATAAATTTATACACATGCATTTCTTATATAGACCTTCATTTGCATAATTTGCATCTTATTTACACATTTATTAGAGCAATCAAAAATAAGCTCTGAAAAGTATCAAGTGCTCAAAATATGTTCCAAAATACCAATTTTAAACAAATGCTTTATAAAACTTGGAAAGTATAAAAAATTTATTTGAATTTTTATTTTACCATAATAATAACCACCAAACCACTTTTATTTATTAAACCAAGTAGATAATGTATCAAAATATATTTCTTCAATTAAAATATTTGTTACATTAAATAACAAACATCACTAAAATTGAATGCTGGATCTTTTTGACTCAAAAGTTTATGCTTGTGCTTTCTTGGTTAATTATTTAACTTTTTTTATCTCCTAATTACAGTACAGCTCTAAAACTCACTTCAATGATTATGAGGCTGGCCGGTAGTAAGGTTTTCTTAGCAATGTGTTCAAAATGCTGATTCTGTCAACACCTGTATAATATCAGAGTAATAACATGCTATGTTGCACATGGAAAGTGTCCTTGTTAGTACTTTTGGTGTGCATTTTTGAGGTCACATAAGGAGTCCTTGATTAAAGCTTAGGATATCAGACATTTTTTATGATTGAGTGTAAGTCAGGTTAAGTTCAGGATCATTACGACCACCTAGCTACTGGTATCATGTAACCCAGTACTATCTACCCCATGCCCTGCTACCTTCTAGGGTTTTCTTTTTTAGGGAATGGCTAGGAGAGACAAAATCCGATTCAAAAATCTCCTGCTTTAGGACTTTTGGTTGAGTAATGGCTAGAGATAGTGTCTCAATAAAAATACTCATCTTGGTTAGATGTTAACTGCATCTTGATGTATAGATATTAATTGCATGTTAACTGCAACAGGCGACTTGAAAGATAAACTATATAAATATATAAACTATATAAATAAGGAAATAGATAAATTATATAAATAAGGAAAAAAAGATTAAGGAAGCGAATTTCAAAAAACTGATGTTAGAGTAAAAAAACTAGCAAATAATTTTTCGAGCACTTAGAAACAGTCGCAGTAAAACAATTAGACTTAATTGAATGAAATGTAACGCAAGAATAAATTTTAGTAGATGGCACAAAAGGCACTAACTCTTTAGATGAGAGCCCATTATAGTAATTGTAGAAAAGAGAAAAAGAAGCAACATTACGAAAATGTGTAAGTGGTTGAAGGTTATCTGCAAAAGAAGGTCCAACTTTGTTTACAATGCCTTTTTGCATCTTGTTTAAAAGATAAAGAGCATCATTGGAAGATCAACTCCAGATACAGCAACAGTATTACATACAAGAACGGATTTAAGATTTATAGAGATAAAGAATATAATCCAGAGTAAAAAGTGGCAAGTATGATGAAGAGATTCAACCTTAGCAGATGTTAATTTTGTAAACAATTAATCTTAGAAGACAGAGGGTAGATGACTCATCGAGTACATTACTGTTCATAAATATAGGAAGATCTAGATTGTTAGAATAACAATTAGCTGAAAAAAATTGAGTTTTATCTGAGTAAAAATTCACCAGCCATTGAGAGCCTCATGATGTAGAAGAAGTGAGATCTTTTTCAGCAATCAGAGAGAGTTAATTTCTTATCAAGACAAGAATAAATGGTAGCATCATCAGCGAACAATGCCACCTTAGATGTGAAAATTTCTGGGAGATGATTAATGTAAATTAAAAAAAAGCAAAGGACCGAAGATAGAACCTTGAGGAACTCCTGAAGTTGCCGGAAATAAAGAAGAGTGCTGTCCATCAAGGACAATTTTTATACTATAATTGGTAAGGAAGGATTCAATAGTCTTAAATATGTTATCTAATAAATCGTAGAGAAGACCAGCATGCCAAATTTTATCAAAGGTTGTACAAATTTTGATAGCGATAGCTTTAACATTCTCCACATCTATCTAATGCACAAATTGGCAGTAGAACAAGTAATTTGAAATCCATATTGATGATCAGAAAGCTCTTTGTTTTTTTTAAACTCTCCTTCAATTTAACTTTCAATTTTTAAAAAAGTTGATTTAAATCAAAATGCCATGAAATTCAAAAAGTTGATAAATTTTATTGTTTTTAAATTTATATATTATAATAATTATGCATTAATAACTTTTATTTGAACATCTAAAAATTTTAAAAGTTTAATTAATTTTATATGTGATTGCCTTCTTCAGTTTGTAGGTTATCTTGTCTTTTTTTTTGTCTTTTTTTTTTAAATATAAAACAGAAATTTAAGCAGAAATTTTTTAATGTATTTTTTAAGGCATTTGTTAAAAAGAATGACACATTGATTGACACATTCAGATTGGCCATTTTACATTCACATTCATTTTAAATTTTAATAAACTTTTTGAATAAACTGCTAATTCCTCAATAATTGAAAGAATTACGCCAAAAAAATTTTACCCAGTAAACTTATTAAACTATCATACTTATTAGTTTAAATTTAATATATATTTAATATATATAAAATATTTTAGCATATTTAATTTTTGTTTAATAGTGTTGGTGCTTAATATAGTGTCTTATGAAAATTTTATTGTGTTAAAATGACAAAACAAATGTTTAATTGAGAAAAGGGCTTTGAAATTTTTCTCTTATCTTTTTCACTACTTGCCATTTTAATAAAACTTAATATTAATAAGCTGATAAAACTTCATATTTTAAATATTTTGGATTTAAAGATAAATATACTATAATCTCAGAACAAATTTCAAATCAAAAAATAACGAAATATCAAATTATGAAGTCTGATGCCCCCTTAGTTTAAATGATGGTTTTAATTTATTACAACAATTCTTTTAGTTCTACCCAAAACATAATTTAAATTTAAAACTTGCTATTTTAAAAAGCTAATACAGAAATAATTGATTTATTTTTTTAAACTATTTTAAACACACTTAAGTAACTAAGGTAATTAATGTTTAATTTTATACCTAGCAATTGATAATTTTGAGCAGCTCAGTTCAGAATTTTATTTTTTTACACAATGATGGAATTTTTTTAATTTTTTAGATTGTTTTACATAATATTGGTAAAACTAATATCAGGTTCTACCCTTGGAAAACGTAGACATCCAAGTTCATACACTTGGGAGGAAATAGGCAATCACACAGATGGTTTGTACTTGGTAGGAATTCTAGAGGCAACTAGTAAAATCACAAAATTCATTGTTGGAAAAGGATCAAGTCGCAAACGAAGAGATACAAGTTAGCAACTGCTTTTTAAATTTTAAATGCAATCATTGTATGTATTCATATACATACAGTGTTCAAAGTAAGGCGGGATGCCATCCCTTCACCTTTTTATAAAGTATAAACCATTTCACCTTTTTCTCACCCTCATTACTTTTTTTAATCATCTTTGAGCACTGTATACATATACTTATATATATGTATATATATATATATATATATATATATATATATATATATATATATATATATATATATATATATATATATATATATATATATATATATATATATGTATATATATATATATATATATATACAAATGTATATGTATACATAAACATGTATTTATTTATATATATATATATATATATATATATATATATATATATAAATATATATATATACATATATATATATATATATATATATATATAAATATATATATATATATATATATAATGTATATGTATACATAAACATGTATTTATTTATATATATATACATTTATATATATATATATATATATATATATATATATATATATATATATATATATATATATATATATATGTATATATAAACGTATATGTAAACATATACATATAAATTTACATATACGTATATATATATATACATATATATATATATATATATATATATATATATATATATATATATATATATATATAT